TTTGTTGAACTTAAACTTTATTAGAAAAAACCATTATTGACGACAATATCGCTACAATTGATATGATATTTACGGTTATTTGGATAAACAGTAAATATGTTGTAATTTTTGTGTTTAATATATAATTAAATAGGTATTTAATATCAAATTATTTGAGCAAACAAAATATAATTGCTTTGTTTAATATCAAATAAATTAAACACTTTTTTATATTAATAAAAAAAATTAATAATGTTTATTTATATTGTATAACTGTTAAGTTACTTATATCATAATACATTATATTTTTAAAATACAGTAGTTATAACATAAAACTAAAACTTAATATATTTCTATATTTTAAAATTTTATTTAAAATTACTGAAATTATTTTATTTAATTGTATCTACATTTCTACTATAATTTAATTTAAGAAAAGTATTTTTTTGTGAATAACACTTTTAAAGCTTATAAAAATAGTTAAACAGAAAATTACATAATTTGAAATAATTTTATTTAACAATACATTTGCATTTTTTTTTGTTGTTGTTTTGTTTTTCAATAATCATAATAACAACAATAAATACTTAAGTCTTAAAAATAGATAAAACATTTTCTTTTTGTATTATTATTATTATTGCCGTTGAAAAATAAATCTGTGACTTACAGTGTGTTTACAACAATAGCAATTCACAACTCATTTATTACTATAATAACACAAGAAATTTGTGTGTTTGTGAGTGAGTGAGTGAGTGAGTGAGTGAGTGAGTGAGTGAGTCTGTGATTTTTTCTGTCTCACTCACTATAATCACAAACACAACATAAACATCACTGAGAATTAGGTCAATGAGCGTAAACACATTGAGCTTATTTGAAACACATATTGCATTTAATTTTTAATTTTAAAAATATACTGAATATAATATAAAAACCTTAAAATAAGTTTTCATTTTAACTAAACTTTTAAAAAAACTTATTATATAATCTATTCGTTGGAGATTAATAATAATAATATTTTTTTTATAACTAGCTTAACAATATAATATTAAAAAATAATAAATAGAAAATAATGTTATATATAAATATTTTTCTGGAAGTATTTTAATAATAAATCTTTTAACAATTGCTTATAAAACTTTTTATTTAAAAATATATTGTACGTCATTCAAAACTTGTAGATTATCTAAATTTGATATTAATATTTGAAATCTTAATGTATTTAATCTTAAAAATATATTTAAAAATTATATCTATATTTTTAAAAGTTTTGTATTATTATAGTTTTAATATTTTTTATTATTTATTTAAATAATAATCTATTTTACAAATCAACTACTATTATCAATTACTATATAAATATCTAACAAATTATTATGGTTAATATTTTTTTGATAATAAATTTATCTGTAAATATAGTTTAGTATTATTCTAATTATTTTTATCATAAATCTCATAAATTACTAAATATTGATTATTGTTATTTGAATTTTTTGTTGAATATTAAGGTTAGCATTGTTTCGCAAATAATCTGTTTTTATTTATTTGTTTGAAAACTATAAAAACTTACAATATATCAAACATTTAATTATTATTTACTTTGTTATACTAAACAATTAAATTAATAACAAAACAATTTATTTTATATAATATTAATCTATTAATTTATATTGCATTGCTTTATGGCCACCAATTTGCCGTAAATATTATTATTTTCATTAAAATTACAATAAAATAGTTCAATTTGTTATGATATTATATATGCATATATATATATATAATATATATATTTCCTGATTTAATAATTTATGATAAAATTAATTATAATAATAATAACTTATATAAAAAACATAATAAATAATAAAGGTTTTGTTTCATTTAAATATCAATTAATTTTTTTGTTACTTAATTTAATAAAAATAAAATCTCTTATTTGTTGCTAATTGTTATTTAATAAGCAAATATCTTTTTAAACTAAACTTTTGTTATACAAATCTATTTAACAATTATATGAATGCAATTATAACAATACAAACAAAACAATCACTTAATTTATAAAACATAAAAAACAATTAAATTAAATGTAACTATAATTGTATTTAAATTATTCAACACACAATTTAATACTAATTAAAAATGTAAATTTAATTTATTTGTAACATAATGTTTAATACTACATATTCATCACATCAATTAATGTTGAAAATGCATAAAATTATTGAAAACTATATTTCTCCAGTATATTTATATATAATTATTATGATATCATAATTTTTATTATTGTTACTATTATATAATACCTGTGCTGATATTGCATGTGTCCATACTGTGCTGATGCGTGCCGTTGGGTAGTGGTCATCGCCCGGTGCTGGCGATGGCTCATTATAATTGATTAATTATATTTTTTTGAATATATGAATATATCACCCAAAAATCAACATAAAATTGTAAATTATATAATTATATTAAAATAATATTTGTTACACAAAAAACATAACATGTAGAGTATAGTCCACACAAATATTATTTTGCATTTTTATGAAATATTTTCAAAAAAAAGGTTTTCACACAAATCTAGGAAATGCATTAACAATACTGTTTTAATAATAATGTTATTATTAGCAAAATAAAAAAAACTGACACTATTTAGGTACCCATCATATGGGAAACAATAACAATAATAACAACAACAAGAAAGTGCACAAACATCTGTAGATACCGTTCCTCTTATTGTTGTTGATTACACACAAACGTATGGGGTTTGGTATGAAAAAGTGATTCTCAAATGAGTGCTGAAATTCATATAAAAATTATATATATATTTTATTTTTTAAGAAAATTATTATTATTATTGTTATTTAATGTCTTAAAAGAGTTTTTCGTTTAAAGTTTTATTTTCAAAAAAACCAGTTGTCATCATAATTATAATATACGACATGAAAACTACATTAAGAACTAAATTAAAATAAAAATGATAATAATATAATGAAAATAATACTCTCTTTAAAATGTTTATTGCAATTAAAGTTTTATATATATAAATATATTATTGTTATAAATGTTTTATTATTATTATTATCACTATTACTATTACTATTCAGTCATTCAAATCCTGAACATGTTTTGGGTTTTGCTTTTATATATATATATTTTAAATGCAATGTAAAAAAGTTTTGAAAAAAATTATATTAATAAAACATTTTATTCTATACCTACCATTAAAACACTTTATTAAATTGATTTATATTATTATTATTTTTTGTCTTATATACAGTATATGCATCATAAATGATAATTTAATAGAGCACTGGGATGTCTATTAAGCTAAGCTAGGGTTGGCCTAATGAGAGATAATGACATTTAATTATCAATTTGTTTTTTAAATGAGGAAAAGTTGTGGTAAATTTTACTACTGTGTCACCACTTGTTTACAAACATATGATATATAATAGAATTTTATTAATATTTATTATTATTATTATTATACAGTAATACTGTAGTTTAGATAGTTATTGTATTTAATAAATAATATATTATATGTTTTACAAGTTGTTAGATATATTTTGTTAACAATTCAAAAAGTTCAATATTTTTTATAGTTTATAGATATACATATAGTTGTCATAGAAAACAGCAATTCAAAACAATATAAATATATATATTAATATAGCAAATGTTTTTATAACTATTATTATTATCATATATATATATATTGATGTTTTATTTTTTCAGATTCAAATAGTAAAAAGATTTGTAAAAATAATTATAATAATTTCACTGTCAAAATATTTTCTCTTTCGCAATAATAAACAAATTCCACAATAATATTGATATATTATATTTTACTCTAGTATTTAATAAAATATTTAGTAGTTTAATATATTTTATATATTATTATTTTTTATTAATATTTAATAGATATCATATAACACAAAAAAATATTTATTTTTTCACACATGAAAACCGTTATTATTATGATGATATTATTATATAAGTTATATATATATATATATATATATATATACTATTAATATAAATTTATATTGTATTGTAGTAATATTCAGTATATAATTTATCTATTGATTAATTTTCTAATGAATTGAGTATTTTTCAACTACTTGTCCTAAACAACAACAATAATATAGTTTTATGATTTTACAACTAATATATTATATTAAGTATTTTTGTGCAAACGATAATAAAAACAAAAAAATTTAGGGAATTTTTACTGAAATATTTTTATAATTAAATTTTCTTTAATATTATTATCATTGAAAATCTTGCCTTAAATGGTGTTTTAAACTCTAAATTATATGATAATATACAGAGATGTCATATAACAGGTTTGTTGTTTTTGTAGTGTTATGTCATCTATTCATTAATAACCACAACATTAATAAATTAATATTTAATATTTAATGTTTTATAATAGTTTAAAATAATTTAATTTACTCAATATATATATATACAGTATATATATTAGATTTTTAAAATGTAAACAATGCAATTATACTAATAATTTATAGTTTAAATAATTAGCAAAATTTTTAAAACTTCATTTCTTATATACACAAGTTTTAAGTTATAATTTAAAAAAAACATATAATATTAAAATAATAATTTATTATTATTAATATTTTAGTTAAATGTGATCACTTAGTTAAAACTTTGTTATTAATTAGATTAAAATATAATACTAACTCAATATTTTAAGTCAAGTTAAATATTAATTTAAAAGTTTAGTTTACACTTATGCTATAGATTTTTTTGTATCATTAGTATATTTTATTGAAAATTAAAAATATTGTTACTTTTAATTTAATTTCTAAATAAATATAAAAAGTTTTATACTAAATAACATCGTGAAAAGTTTGTAAATTAAAAAATATATTATTATTATTATTATATCTTATAATTAAACAAAATTTTAAAACTCGCTAATGTATTATCATGAAAGTGTAATAAAAAAATTTTAATTATATAAATTATAAACAAATAAATAAAATAAATAAATTTTTACATACCTACTACTCATTTTATTTGAAAATTTATCTTGATCTTCAATCAATTGTAATTTTTGATTGTAATTTAATATTCAAATAATTTTTTTATCGGAGTTATTGTTTTGTGTAGATTTCAATCAAGTGATTTGGTGTATAATAACAATAATAATAAACTAATTGTAATTATTATTATTTGCTTCAATTGTAAGTTTTTTGTTGTTTTCTTGTGAATAAATTTATAGAATACTTGAATTCAATGTTAAATTTAATAATAATATTATTTTATTTTTGATATAATAGTTGATCAAAACAATTGTTGTTGTAGTTTGCCAAAGTTTTTAATTAAATTAACATAAATTTTAATATTTTTGCCAATTATTATTATTATATTATTAGTATTGTTGTTGTAATAATTTACTATAAAGATAAACAAAAAATAACTTTTAATTATAATTGTTGAATAAATAATGTATCATATAATAGATTTAAGATTTTGTATGATTAAATTAATTTATATACAATTTTACTCTTAAATAATAACACTTATTAAAAAATATTCACTAAAATATAATAATAAAAATCTATTATTTTATAAATTTGCAGCAAATCAAACAATTAATTAAATCTATTTTTTATTAATTTAATAATAATTAGACTTTTGTTAAATAAAAATATTACTTGTTATTATGAAATATAAAAATTATTTCAATGTTAGTCCACTCAATGAAACACAAAATTTTGTATTGAATGCAAATTGTTATTTCAATATTAAAAAACAAAACAAAACTTTTTTTAAAAAAATATTTATTGCTTATTGATTTGTAAAACTTTGATTATAGATAACTAATAGCAGATAATAAAAGTAATAATAAAAAAATAATTTAAAGAATTTCGCGGAAGTATTACTTTTATGTTAAAATAATGTTAAGTATACTTTTTATTGGTTAGATGTTATATAATATATATACATATATATTATATTAGTAGAAAGCATAGTTGAGATGAGTTATGTGAAGAGCACCGGTAGGTTTAGGGCGCCGTTTTGAATGGCAATATCGATAACCACTAGAAAGGATGCAATTGATTATCATCAGTAGTATTAGTAATATTAGTAATAGAGTGAAATGTTATATACGGTATATAAATATAGTATATTTTATAATTATTTATTAATAATAATTAAATAATTTCTATTCAATATATATATATATAGTTTATTTTAAATATAAGCATCACATCAGACACATCCAATAAAAAACTTGTTTATAATGTCTATAATAATAATAATGACTATTATTAAATTAAAAAAAAATAAATGAGAAAAAAATCAAATTATGTTTTACTTGAAGCTATGAATTGCCCGGAAAAGCAGTCTGTGTTCAATGAATTAATATTTTATGTACTAATAATAATAATAAATTTGAAGATATAAAATATTTCACAATTACTTTATGAATCTATATATATATAAAAAGTTTTTTTTTTGAATTCAAATAAAATCCATAAGAAATCAATCACAATACGAATAGTAACACTTGAAATAATTTTTTTTATTAATATTTATGTTTGCACACAATTGATATAAAATATACTACAATAACACAAGTTTTTTCAGAGAAAAATACAAACTTTTTTTTAATGAACAAAAAAAATTCACAATTTTTGTACAAAACTTTTTTTTCGACTTTTCTATGAAAACTTGTCTCTATTTCTTGAAGTTTTCCAATGCTTTTGGGTTTTTGGTATGTATTTTATCAAATGATAGCTAAGTTATAACAAATGATGTGAAAGAAAAAACTGGATATACTATCTATACTATTGAGTTGTATTGCTATAACTATTGAGCAGTGAAATCATTTACCAATGAGAGTATTACTTGAGTAGTGGGAAAAAATAATAATAATAATAAAAGGTAACTGTGCTGCCAATTGTGTCAATTGCGGGGATATACAGGTTTTCCTAATATATTATATATTAGTGGTGTAAAAAATTACAGGTGCAGACACTGCACTCTTTGATCATTTTTAATAAATATTTAATCGATTTAAATGTAGTCAAAATATTATGGATTTTTTTTCTTAATCAATTAACAAATATATATTTAATAAATTTTTTTAATAAATTTCAATATAATTAAAAATTTTAAGTTTAAACAAATAATAATTTTTTGTTCATTTTAATTTAGATAAGGAATAAATATATTAAACTAAATTAATAAAATACTAATTGTTTGATTTAACTATTTTGCTAAATTTGTAAATATTACTTATCATAATATATTTTTCAATTGAATTAATTTTAATAATATTAAGAATTTAGTATTTAATAATCTAAAACTTATTATCAATTATTAATATAATTATTAGTACTGAGTATTGATTATTTGTTTTTTTTATTATCATTACTAATATTAATGTGACTTATAATGACTATTCTAAAAACTGAAGTTTTTTATTTATTTATTTCACATTTTATATTATAGTCAAAATGTAATTTTTTTAATAATAAAGTTTTTTATTAATATATTATTTTTCTAAATTTTTATGTGCGAAACATTCATTAATATAAATATTTTTTAGGTTATTTTTTTCATTTCAATAAATAAAATTAATTATTATTGTTTTACATGATAATGTACATTAAATTCAGTTATAATTTTATGAATAAAAATATTAATTTTTGTATTAATTTAAAAGTTGTAGTTCAAAGTTATTATTATTATTATTATTATTATTATTATTAATGAGATGGTGACCATTAAATCATTGCAGTCTAAACAACAAAATTGTAAATTAAATTTGTTGTTTTTGAATCAATTGTTATACAAGTTTGGTATAAATAATCGCAAATATGGATCAACAAAAAGATCCATATTTTAAAACAATTATATAGTAATTAGTTTTCAAGTTTTATGGTTTTTGCAACAATTATTGTCGATAGTGTTTAATAAATCCGAGTATTCACTTATATTATGTGATTTTGCATTCAAATGGCGATCACGGGTTACGTTGAATGTATTGCAGTTATATTTGTCGATAACTTTACTGTCCATACGTTTGCTAATTCATGTTTACAATAGTTATTATTATGAATATAAAAAACAAAATAAAATTAATGATTATCTAATTAGAAAATCAAATGATAATAATAAATTCAACGACATTTTACTAAACAGTTTGAACAGAAAAACAAAATTTACACTAAAATCTATATACATATATAATACATGTCTGGGTCCGGGAGTCATATTTCCAGTAGCTTTCCTATCGTATCTATTGTATGCATCGCTGGCCGAGACACTGACCTACGGTGTAATCAGTTCAGTGTTTATTGCCATCAATTTTCAACATTCAACTAACACTTATTACTATAATTATCTATACTTTATATATTTGAGTCAATATTTTAAATATGATTTTCAAATAATCAATAAACGCATTAAATTTTTTATTAAAAATGTTAAATTAAATGTTAAAAATTGTGATTTAAATAACAATATCAAAATGTTTTTGAATATTATTAACGAAAAACATAGATTTTTTTTCAATATATCACAGTTTTGGTCTAAATTTGTTTGTTTGATATGGATTGCCGTATCGATGGTCATTACATTAATGATATATCAATCAATTTATGGGGAACAGGAGATTATAATTAGACTGTTTTTTATATCCTTAACTTCAGTCACTGGACTGATAAGCCTAGTGTTCTGTATTTCGGTAACAATCGTTTACCGGGAAACTAACCGTACGTACAGTATAGTCAACTCATTGATGACATCTATTGTTTCTAAATTTATTGACAATAATAATGACATTTTATTAACTAATAAATTAAAGGTGATAATATTTAATTTTATTTTATTATTAATATAACATTTAATTTATAAATTAAAATATATTTATACATTAATCGTAGAAAAATCTAATTAAATTGATGTCAATGATTGAAAAATGCGGTAAAAATACAATTGGATTCTATTGTTGGCAACTATTTATTATTAGTAGTCGTAGAGTTCAAGAGGTAATTGATTTTCAAAATTAAAATAATATATTTTTAAAGTAATTAATTAACAATTGTTTCGAAAATTATATCAAATGTCGTTTTAAGGAAATTAATTTATTTTTATATTTAGGTAATTATATTTGGATTCACATTATTTGTAAAAATAATAGAACTAACGAGTGATAATAATTAGTAAAAGTTATTAATAAAAAATTACATAATAAGTCAATAGTTGTATTTATTTGTTGTTATTATTATTTAAAAATTAAAAAAAAATAATTTTAATGTTTTTAGCATTGAATTTTGTTATGAAAATTTTATTAATCTTAGTATATAATGAAATTTTAGTTAATAATTCATGAATACTTTATTTTTATTTTTTATAAAAATTAGTATTCGTTAAATAACATATATAATATAAATTATTTATATTAATAATTATAACTTTTGTTATAAATACAAGTTGTCTAAATAAAAATTAATTATGTGTCTGCACCATTATAATTGTATAGTTCAATACAAATGTAAAAATCTAGAAAATATTATTTTAATTAAAAAATTTAAATTATTATATAAAGAAATAATACCGCAATTAATGTGTGTTTATTAAGTGTCGCAAAACCAGCGATAGTAAAGCCAATGTTTGTCAATGTATTAGTCGTTATATTTCTAAATATATGCCATTCATTGCTAACAATACTATCAGTGGACAGACCGGTGGCGGCCATCGATTCCAATACTGTATTTAAATTGAGTACCGATTGACCAACAGATCCGCACATAAAACACGATATAACAAACTCAACGGCAAATCTAAAGAAAGCAATACTCAATATTATAAAATGATCATGTATAAATTTATAAACATTGATCCTCGATAGAAAAAATAAGCCAATCATAGTCATAAATATTGAAATAATTGCGTTTAACATTATCAAATAGTTTAGATTGTTATCTAGATAATTTATCGTATGTTTAATTTTCATAAATTTTTTTAGATGTTTTCTTAAATTAATAGCCAAATTAACATTAGATGATTCACTAACTATAATAATAATAATAATATAATAATGTTAATGATATATATAAATAATTTTTTAAATAAACTATTTACCATATGTATTATGTATATCGTGATAAACTTGTCTCGTAATAGTATCGATAAGTGCTGATATACATAGCGATAATATCCATGTCATTAATGCAAATGTATATAAATATGTATAGACTAGACTAAAGTAGATGCTTGATATAAGATGATAAATATCGATAATATATATTATGTTAGTGAAAATTATTGACAATACGCCAATTTCATGAATGATCCAGGCCACTATAGCTATAATAAACTTTTTATTACATTTTATCTTGTTAATATTATTATTGCTATTGATTAAATCAATAAATGTTTCAATCAGTCGATATGAGTGAAAGTTACCATGATAAACTGTTATAACTGACATTATTGCTGTACTAATACTTATAGTTAATGCCAAATATATAAATTGTGTGGACAATAGATCAAGCATTTGATTACCATTTTGAAATGTATAAAATAATTGTAAGATTGTTATCACTGTTAACATTAATGTTGTTGTATAGCCATAGTATTGCCAACGTTTGTTTGTTGAGACAACTAGTTTAGTATTATTATTGATCAGATTAATGGTTAGACCACCAAATGTTATGCCACACAAACGATTAAAATAAATAAATGATTTAATAAATATTTTATGATATTTTGATATTTTATATCTTGAAAAGTTAGATTGATTTATTTGATCAATCATAATTGTTAAGTTTATTTCGGAAATTTTCTATTTTATTTATTAATTCACTCAACAAAAATTTTAATTTTAAAAATACAAAATTATTTATAATTTAAATATACTTTTAATTAAATGTAACAGCTAGAATTTAAATTAGAAATTATACAATAATATTACATTTAGTATAACATTAAGATTAAGGATAATTATTTTATTTTTAAAACCATAATATATTGAAAATATATATTACAATAAATAGTAATTTACAACTTGAAACATTGTTTATTGTAATTTAAGGATTAAAATAAAACACAATCAATAAAAATGTTTATTGTTTACTAACTAAATGCTATTCATTGTTTGTTTGTGTCAAACATAATATTCAATATTTTATAATATTTTTTATTTAAGAAATATTCTGATCTTTTAATCTTTTGGAAACTTTTCATTTTTAATATTTATAGAAAAAATATAATAATAATAATCAATCAACTAAATGATTAAAAAATAAGATAAAAATAAATCAATAATATAATATTTTGTAATTATTTGAAAAATATTAAAAATTTTATCAATAAATTTGATTAAACTTAAAATATATTATTATTTATCAAATATAATAATCAATATAGTATTTAATGTTATTTTCTATATAAAAAAATTCATAACCTTTTAATCTTTTGCAACTCTTTGTTAAATATTTATTTTAAAAAAATAAAAAATTTAATTATCTTAAATACTTAAAAAATAAAATAGAGGAAAATTAATATTATAGTATCTATAATATAGTATTATAGTATTATAGTATTCTAGTATCATTTACATATTGCAATTCGCATTATTTGTCATAATGATTTTTTAAAACTTTTATATATTAATATTTTAATAATTATAGCTTTTATAAATGATTTTTCAAAATAAATATTAATTTTGTGTCTGCACCATTATAATTGTGTAGTTCAATACAAATGTAAAAACCTAAATAAAATTATAAATTACCGGTAATAAATAAATATATATATATAATAATTTATAATAAAATAATACCGCAATCAGTGTATGTTTATTAAGTGTCGCAAAGCCAGCGATAGTAAAGCCAATGTTTGTCAATGTATTAGTCGTTATATTTCTAAATATATGCCATTCATTGCTAACAATACTATCAGTGGACAGACCGGTGGCGGCCATCGACTCCAACACTGTATTCAATTTAACTACCGATTGACCAACAGATCCGCACATCAAACACGATATGACAAACTCAATGGCAAATCTCAAAAACGATATACACATAACTAGAAAGTTATCTCTAATAAATTTATTAACATTTAATCTTGATAAAAAATATATGCCAATCATAGTCATAAATATTGAAACAATTGTGTTTAACATTATTAAATAGTTTAGATTGTTATCTAGATAATTTATCGTATGCTTAATTTTCATAAAAACTTTTAGATGTTTTCTTAAATTTATAGACATATTGTGATTTGATGATTTATTAGCTATAACAATAACAACAACAATAATAATAATAAATATACTAGTAAATATTATAAATTAATAATAATAACATTATAATTGAATAATATTCATTAATAATTTTTTTTTTAAATTTTTACCTTGTTTATTATGTGTATCAATATTCACGGCATTTCGATCAAGTTTCTGAGAAATATTATCGATAAGTGTTGATATACATAGCGATAATATCCATGTCATTAATGCAAATGTATATAAATATGTATAGACTAGACTAAAATAGATGCCTGTTATTTGATGATAAACATTAATATCATTTAACACGTTTATAGATATCATTAACAATAGGCCTATTTCATGAATGATCCAGGTCACTATTGATATAATAAACCATTTATTACAATGTATTTTTTGGATATTGTTATCGATATTTATTAGACCAATAAATGTTTCAAACAGTCGATATGAGTGAAAATTACCATGATAAAATGTTATCAATGATACTATATCAGTGCTAACGTTTAAGGCTATAGTCATTAGTAGAAAATTTTTGGACAACGATTCATACAATGGATTACCCGGTAGTATTGCAATATATAACTGTATAATAGTGGCCACTGTTAACAATAATGTTGTTGTATAGCCATAGTATTGCCAACGTTTGTTTGATGAGACAACTAGTTTAGTATTATTATTGATCAGATTAATGGTTAGACCACCAAATGTTATGCCACACAAACGATTAAAATAAATAAATGATTTAATAAATATAAATTGATATTTTGATATCTTAGATCTTAAATTATCTTGATTACTTTGTTTAATCATTATAATCAAGTTAATAGATTTTGTTTATTATTATATTTTTAAAACAGATTTATTTATTTATTTATTTTTTAATTTACAAAGTAATTTATTATTTAAATTTTACAAAAAAAATCTAATAATAACAATGAGACTAATAATGTATATAAATTGCAAAAGTAACTTTTATTACAAAATAATTTGAAACATAAAACACTATAAACTGCAATTTAATTATTAAATTACAATCAATAAAATATTAATGTTTACTTATAAATGCAAATATTTTTTGTTTGTTTGTCACACATAATAATTAATATTATTTTATATTTAAGAAAAGTTAATAACACTTATCGGTAATATAATAATAAAGTGTTTGTTTAAAGTAATGAAAAAAATTAATATATAAACTATATTATATAATTATCTTATAAATTTAGAAAATAAATAATCTAGTAGTCTAATAACTATTTAAAATTATATTAAGTTAATTAAATTTTAAAGATTGTTAATTAATTAATAATATGTAAATGTAATATATTTTTAAATTATTTTTAAAGTATTTTTAATAAAATCTATTTGAAAATAACTGATGTCTTAGCGTATGTGTGATCCATACAATTACCGATAACTGAGTTTTTATTTAAATGCCAACAATTGTGTTGATATAAACCAAACGTTTTATGACAGTCATCGACATTGCATTTGTAATTCATTGGCTTTTCATAGATATGACTTCGTTTGTGTTGATCTAATCCGGACTGTTGTCGATAACTTTTAGTACAGTTAACGACATCACAAATATAAGGCTTTTCGTCGCAATGAATGCGATAGTGTTGAATCAAATGAGTCATTTGCCGAAATTTTTTGTCGCAATTTTCGACATCACATTTAAATGGTCTCTCATCTGAATGTATGCGTCTGTGTTGATATAAACCAGTACTTTGGCGAAACGTTTTATGACAGCCATCGACATCACATTTAAATGGTCTATCAGTTGAATGGATGCGTTTGTGTTCATCTAAACGACAGTTTTGTTGAATCAGTTCATCACCACAACCATCGACGACATTACAATTGTACGGCCATTGACCACAATGTATACGTTTGTGTCGATCTAAACCAGTCTGATATTGAAATCTTCGGTCACAACCATCGATATTACACATCAGATATGTCTTATGATTAAAATGTATGCATTTGTGTTCAATTAATTTAGATTTTTGCCAAAATATTTTATCACAATCATTGACATCACATTTAAATGGTTTCTTATCTAAATGTATTAGTCTGTGTTGATTCAAATTTTGTTTGCATGTAAAACGTTTGTCACAATAAATGACATCACATTTAAATGATTTATCGTCAAAATGTATGCGTTTGTGTTGAATTAAACTAGACTTTAATTGATATAATTTATTACAATTATTGACATCGCATTTGTAATGTTTTAAATGTATCCATTTGTGTTGATTTAAAATACGATTAGATTTAAAACATTTATTACAAACATTGCATTTAAATTGTTTATCCAATGAATTGTTGTCTAATATAATATTATTGATGTTATCATCGATCATATAATCACTGATATTACTATTTATTATGACATTAATACTGTTAATATTAGTATTGCACTGATTAAACAAAACACAATTAGTTTTATTGAAATCCATTGTTAAATGATTTCAATTGATTTGATTTTAATTTAGTTTAGTCTTAAGTTCATTCAATCGCACTCTTAATGAATACATTTTTTAACACTAATTATTGTTTAAATATTTTATCGTAATTTTTGACAATAAAAACAATCGTTTGATTAATAAAGTTTGTGTTTATAAATGACAAAACATAACAATTAGTTTTTTTTAAATTATGATAAATATAATAATAATATCATAAACTAAGTGATTGCTATTGTTTGTTAAGCACATGTATGCTAAAGTGTGGCAATTTTTTTTAAATGGTTAAACTAAGGTTATACTGTATATAAATTACACTGTATAAGTTATACACATATAAGCTATAGATCATAGATTTACCCCTAACTTATACATACTTAATACATATATACATACACTTTAGCTATCCTATTGCCTGCATAACAATCTATAGATTTTACTATAAAAATTAGTTTCACTATAAAGTATTAAATATTCTGTATATTTTATAACTTTATATAATGTATTTTTTTAAAAACAAATATTACTAATTACTAATTTATTTATTTTTTTTAAATCCAATTTAATATTGAGAATAAATTATATAAATATTTATTTCAATATAAAAACAATAGGCATAATAAAATTACTTATAAATAATTTTTAAAAATAAAATATTAATATTATGTCTGGACAATTATAATTGTATGATATAATGCAATGCAATGATTATAAATCTAGAAATAAATTGAAAACTATTAATTGTTTTTTTCATAAATTAATTGATTATTTCTAATGAAATAATACTGCAATAAGTTTTTTGTTTATTTAGTGATATTAGTCGTTATATTTCTGTAATCATTAATGTAATCATTACTTGAATTATTAAAATGTTATCAATCATGACATAAATAAATTTAAATATAATTAATATATGAATATAATTTAATCTTTTCTGAACATTAATAAAGATATACAAATAGATTTATTTCATTAAAAATAATAATAATTGAAATTACATAAAATAAGTGTATTATCTTAGAAAAAATTAATACTTTATTTAAAAATGCATTTTATATAAATATCAAATAAGACAAAATCTAATATTTATTTATAATATTAAAATAAAATTTTTTTGAACACTATTACAAAAATATTTTACAATAAAAATATAATTTACAAAATTTATAAAAAAAATATTGTATTTAATTTTTTCTATAATTAACTATAAAAATCAAAACAATTTGTTTAGTTTTTATTTTGTTTATTTAAGTATACTAATTATTTTGCAAATAACTAAATAGTATTTAAATTGATTGTACATTAAAAACTAACCAGTGTAAATTTATTTAATTAACATATTTTAAGTGTTTTTCGCCGTAATGAATGAGTTTATTTTCATTTGCATCTAATATTACAAATTTAATGTCGCAATTGTTGTCATCACATTCAACAGACAATTTACTCAGTTGTTTGTTTCGTGAATCAGATTGTTTTCCAAACAGTTGAATGCAAGCATTGACATCACATTTGCTTATCTTTTCACCGAAATGTCTGCGTTTGTGTTGATCTAATCCCGATTGTTGTCTAAATGTTTTGTCGCAGTCATCGATATCACACTTGAATGGCTTTTCACCGAAATGTCTGCGTTTGTGTTGATCTAATCCCGACTGTTGTCTAAATGTTTTGTCGCAGTCATCGATATCACACTTGAATGGCTTTTCACCGAAATGTCTGCGTTTGTGTTGATCTAATCCCGATTGTTGTCTAAATGTTTTATCGCAGTCATCGATATCACACTTGAATGGCTTTTCACCGAAATGTCTGCGTTTGTGTTGATCTAATCCCGACTGTTGTCTAAATGTTTTGTCGCAGTCATCGATATCACACTTGAATGGCTTTTCACCGAAATGTCTGCGTTTGTGTTGATCTAATCCCGATTGTTGTCTAAATGTTTTATCGCAGTCATCGATATCACATTTGAATGGCTTTTCATCGAAATGTCTGCGTTTGTGTTGATCTAATCCCGACTGTTGTCTAAATCTTTTAGTACAGTTATCGACATCACAAATGTAAGGCTTTTCGCTGTAATGGATGCGATAGTGTTGAATTAAATGAGACATTTGCCTAAATTTTTTATCGCAATCATCGACATCACAATTAAAGGGTCTCTTATTTGAGTTATTGGTCGGTTTGCTTTGATTTAAGTTACGCTTCATTTTATTACACAAAAAATTATTTCAAATTTACAATTGTTTATCACTTTAAATTATAATTTATTGTTTTATTCACTTGTGTCTTAATTTACTACTACATAAAACATAGTTTATTTTATTTTGTTTTGTTTATTGCATTATATTTAATGCTTAAAATTGATATAATTCAATTGCTTTAAACACTGTAGAGTATATCACAAACATTGTAAAAGCATTTTAATTCAATTTGTTTTTATTTTTGATAAATTGTGTAAACCATTTTATATTCATAATATTGATAATAAATGTACTGTTGTTGTTGTAAGTTATAAGTTGTAACATTTTAATTGATTGCTAAGTCAGACATTGTTTATAATAAATAAAAATAAAAATTTGTATTTTCAGAGTATTAACCACACATTCAATCTAAATAATCAACATTTGATATAATTTTAATGATAACAACTTATTACAAAACTTAAAGTAAAAATCCCTGTTTAGTGAAAGTCTAGTAAATGTATGACAGGTTTTAATACCTGTATATAACGCATGTATACTGAGCATAGTATCATATGAGTTAAACTGGTTAGACATGATTTTTTTTATTTTTTAAAAAGTTTTATAAAAATAAAGTATAAATTTGTTTATTATTACTATTTTTGCACAGCTGTTCTAAATTAAGGCTTATAATAGTTTTAAATGAGTTATTGATTAAATCTATAATTTTTAAAATTTTTTAAATATTATTTATCATCTAGGTGGTTTTCATGTTAAAGACATTTAAATACTTTATATCATATATATATATATATATATATATATATATATATTGAATATATATAAGTAATTTTATAATATTTTGAAACATTTATTTAACAATATTAATAGTAAACATTTTCACAAATTCCTGAAAGGAATAAGTATATGAAATCTATAAGTCGGTCTGTCTGTCGGTCTGTCTGTCTGTTCCACAAGGACATAGGTTCGAATCCAGGCTCAGCTACGCTTTTTTTGTTTTTTTATTTTTTAAGTTTATTTTTAAGCAAAAAAAAACAAAATGGTGTCCAATAATTAATAAAAAAAAAAAATTTTTTTATTTTTTTTTGTTTTTTTTCTTATTTAAGTTTATTTTTTAGGAAATTGAAGAAAATGGTGTCCAAAAATTAATTTAAAAAATTTTGAAGTTTTTTTTGAATTTTTTTTTAAAATTTTTTTGAATATTGATTTTTTATTTTTTTCGTTTTTAAGTTTATTTTTTAGGAAAATAGTAGTTTATTTTGTAATACTGAATCATTTGATACCCCACATGACTATAGTTGTTTATTTTGTCATACTAAATCGTTTGATACCCTACATAACTATAGTTGATTTTATTTTATCATACTGAATTTAATTTTTAATTATGATTAGGAATTCGTGTGGAAATGCTTTCTAGTTTAGATTAAGATATTTATATTGAATATTTTGCCAAATTTTTGAAATATTTGCTTTTAAAAATGTTTTAACAATAAATATTTAAATCATTATTTAATTAAATAAAAAAATTATTATAAAATTCTTTTATAATAATTTTTTAAAATACTAAAAATAATCAACAATGAAAAAGACACAAATTGTTTCAAATTGAATATTAAGTGATTTTTTATAATGTTAATTTTATATTTCTTTCTAGATATTTCAACAAAATTTTATTCTTGATATTTGAATTTTAGATTTTGATTTATATTTATTAGATTATAAAGTATAATAGTTATTATTTTTTGTTATTTAAATAAATAATATCTATTAAATCTACACCAGGATATAAAGTATTGATTAAATACTATTAACAAATTTTAAGTGTCAGTCAGTAATAATACTGTAACTGATTTTCATTTAATATTTTAACTATAATTATAGTCTATTATATAAACAATATATAAAATAATTCAATTAATCATTTAATTATATTTAGAAAAAATATATTATTACTATATTTATTATTTGTCGTTATTATAATTAATAATTGTATTAATGTTTAATATAATTACACTTATATTTTATGAATCTCATATTTTTATTTTATTTATTTTGCATTTTATTTCATAATCAAAAAGTAACTTTAAATATTTTATTTATAATTATAGTATTATTCTAAAATTCATTAAAATAATTATTATGTTAATGTTATTTTTTAGTTTAATGAATCAATTTGATGATTATTGTCTTACTTAATAATGAACATTAAATATAATATTAATAAAATAACTAAAAAAATAAATAAAATATTAATTTATAGTTGGAGATCAAACTTATAATTTCATTATTATTATTATTATTAATGAGATGGTGACCATTAAATCATTGCAGTCTAAACAACAAAATTATAAATTAAATTTGTTGTTTTTGAATCAATTGTTATACAAGTTTGGTATAAATAATCGCAAATATGGATCAACAAAAAGATCCATATTTTACAATAATTATATAATAATTAGTTTTCAAGTTTTATGGTTTTTGCAACAATTATTGTCGATAGTGTTTAATAAACCCGAGTATTCACTTATATTATGTGATTTTGCATTCAAATGGCGATCACGGCTGACGTTTAATGTATTTCAGATATATCTGTCGGTAAACTTACTGTCCATACATTTGCTGATTCATATTTACAATAATCATTATAAACAACAACAAACTAATAAAAATGATTATCTAATTACTAAATTAAACAATAATAATGAATTTAATGAGATCTCACTAAACAGTTTGACCAAAAAAACAAAGTTTATACTGAAATGTATATCACTGTACAATACATGTTTGGGTCCGGCCGTCCTATTTCCAGTAGCTATCGTATCATATCTATTGTATTCATCGCTGGCCGAGACACTGACCTACGGTGTAATTAGTTCACTATTTGGTATCACCCAATTTGTATACGCAACTAACGTCTATTACTATAATTATCTATACTTTATAAATTTGGGCCAATATTTCAAATATGATTTTCAATTAACCAATAAACGCATTAAACTTTTTATTAAAAATATTAAACTAAATGTCCGAAACTGTAATTTGCATAACAATATCAAACTGTTTTTGAATCTTATCGACGAAAAGCATAGAAATTTTGTTAATATATCACAATTTTGGTCTAAATTTGTATGTTTGATATGGATTGCTGTATCGTTAATTACTATGTTAATCTTATATCAATCAATTTATGGGGAACGGGTGCTTATAATTAGACTGTTTTTCGCTTTTTTGACATTTTTTACTGGATTGGCCAGTCTATTGTTTTGTACTTCGGCTACAATTGTCTATAAGGAAACTAACCGTACGTACAGTATATTGAACTCTTTGATGACAACTATTGTTTATAAGTTTATTGACTATAATAATGAATTTTTGTTAACAAATAAATTAAAGGTAACAGTAATACTAAGATTTTTTTTATTAAGATTATGATTTTTATTAATAATATACTAATATTGTGTATACTATTAATTAAAGAAAAATCTAATTAAATTGATGTCAATGATTGAAAAATGCGGTAAAAATACAATTGGATTCTATTGTTGGCAACTATTCATCGTTAATAGTCGTAGAATTGAAGAAGTAATTGATTTATATTTAACTTTATATTAATATTTTTAATAAATAATTAATAATTGTTTTAAAAATTACATTAAAAATGAATTCGAATGTATTAATGTTTTTTAATAATAATATTATCTATTTATTTTTGTTTATTTATTTAGATAATTATATTGGGATTTGCATTATTTGTCAAAATAATAGATTTGACCAGGGATAATAATTATTAGAAATATAATTTAAAACACTCAACGATTTTCCTAAATAATCCATAAAAAGTCTTAAAAGTCAATGACTGTTTAGAAATTCAATTAATAAATAGTTACAATTATAATCATCAGTTAATTATAAAATAATTTTAATGTTTGTCATAAATTAAGGCTCATATATATTATATCAAAATATTTATTACTTTTAATATATAATGAAGTTTTTTATTATTAATTACTATTAATGATTATTAAGTTTCATTATTTTTTTAAAGAATTATTATGATAATAGTTAACTAACATGAATGTTATAAATTAAAATTATAATAATCATAGTTTTTTATTAAATATTTTTTCAAAAAAAAACATTCAATTTTTATATGTAGTGTTAAAATTTTATAGTATAATACAAAAGTTGAAAATATAAAAATAGATTAGAAGTTATTAAGTGTATTAAAAAATTAACATTATTTATAATGAAATAATATTGCAATGAATGTGTGTTTAATAAGTATCGCAAAACCAGCGATAGTAAAGTCAATGTTTATCATTGTATTAGTCGTTATATTAGTAAATATATGCCATTTATTTAAGTGTCTGTCGTTATAATATAATTTATAATTAGTTTATCTTATTTTTCATCTAATATTTCAAACTTATTTTTTTTGAAATAAATTAATATATGAATTATTATAAAAATAATTCTAATTAGTAAATAAATATTTGTAAAATAAAAAATTAATTTTTTAAGCTCTTTATAAAATTATAAATATTTATTATTACTTCAGAAATATTACTTTTTTAAATATATAATATACAGTATATTAGTAATTAGTATAATTATATGTAAAACTTAAAACAATCAATAAATTTTTATTTTGACAATCAATAATTCAGTAATTTAATTAAAAAAACAATAATTTCGGTAATTATATAATATATATATAAGTATTAGATTTCAATTATGATATTTCAGATGTCTGTCGCCATAATATATTAGTTTGTCTTCATTTGCATCTATTATTTCAAACTTTTTGTACCTTTCGTTGTCATCACAATTGATTGACTTTTCATCCAAATGTTTGTGTTTATGTTTAATCAAACTTGACTTATGACTAAATAATTTGTTACAATCATTTGCATCACATTTGAAGGGCTTCTCATCTGAATGTTTAACAATATGTTGACTTAAATGACGTTTTGTAGCAAATATTTTGTTACAATTATTGACATCACATTTGAATCGCTTTTCGTCAAAATGTATGCGTTTGTGTTGACTTAAACTGGACTTATGTCGAAACAATTGATTGCAATTATCGACATCACATTTAAATGGTTTTTCCATTGAATGTACGATTTTGTGTTGATTTAAGTATCGTTTTGAAGTAAAACATTTGTAACAACTTATAACATCACATTTGAATAGCTTTTCGTCAAAATGTATGCGTTTGTGTTGACTCAAACTTGATTTATGTCGAAATAATTTGTTGCAATCATTGACATCACATTTGTATAGATTTAATGGCAAACATTTTTGTTGATTATTGGAGCCATTAATTATGTCATTAATTTCATTGATATCATTGTATTGTTCATACAAAACACAATTAGTTTTATTCAATTCATTGTCCGATGTTTTCAATTGATTTGAATTGATTTCATTTAATTTACAATTAAGTTCATTCAATGGCACATTTAATGAACACATTTTGCTATAATTATGAATTAAATATTTTATCAGTTTATAAACCAATAGTACGGATGTTAAACAAACATTTTCTGTATTAAATTAATTATCAAAATTAACTTTTAGTATATTGTGGGAAAACACGACAATTTGTTATTAATCACATGTATTATTAAAAAAAAAGTTTATTACTTTACACAATAGACAACGTTTTAGCGGTACTATAGATTAAAGCACATGTATGTTAAAATAAAGACATAAATTATAAACAGTTTAAAGTTTAGTTAACAGTTTATCAATAGTTATCTATTATAATAAATGAATACATTATTGTTAAAATTATATTGAATCATAAAATCAATAAATTACATGTAAATTTATTGTATGTTTTGCCAAAAATCAATTTTACAATTATTTTTTTTATTAAATTTCATTTATTTTTAATATTTATTTATTTTATTAATTATAATATAATAAAACAGATTATTAATATTTATAAATGAATAATTAAAGAAATTTATATATTTATAATTATAATGATTTGTTTTTATTTTTAAATTTAATAAATTATAATTATATGATAATTATTTTCAATATTAATTATTTTAGATTTTTATTTTTGCAAAACATCTATAATATTAAAAAAAAATTATTAATACATGTTTAAAAAATAATTTTTTTTTGAGTAAATAAACATAATTTATAAAACACTATTATCTTGATATAAAACTTTTTGTTGTTGTTGTTGTTGTTGTTGCTATTCATACTACTAATTGTCTGTTTTTAGTTTTTTGTTAACTAAACTAATTTGTTTTAATTTTCGATGTTTATTATTATAGATTAATGAATAATTAGTTTTTAAAATATTATTATCTCTGATAATTGCCAACACATGTCGTAACACTCGGACCACACAATCGGATGAATTGATTTGTTGGCCAAAAGACATACGAATATCATTAGTGAAGGAAAGTTGTGTCTGAACTATAAACTTGTTCGGTGTCTTTGTGGCCAACTCTTGACTAAATGGATCATGGTAATAATCTAAAAATAATATTATTTTTAATAATAATAATAATTTATTTTTTAAAAAATATTAGTTAAATAATAAATTACAAATTCTATCTAAACTAGCATGACCAGTTATGGCAAACAATGTTAAATGTCTACGATTTTTGTTTGATTTAAACGATTTTTTAGCAAAATCCAAATTATTGTAAACCAAAAATATTAAGACATCGCAAGTATTGTTTAGTTCAGCGCTAATTAGTTTACGCAATATTTCGCAATTAATAATATAACGATTACGCATTTCGTAATTTTCATTAATAAATTTTGAATGATTACTGGCAAATGGCGATCCTATAAAATTGTTGAATATTTTGACAGATTGTTGTCCACTATTAGAAGTTTGTTGTCGTTGAACACACTGTTTGTTTAAATATTCTACTACAGTGTCTATAGCTTTTATTTCAGCAAGGTGTGCTTCAAAATAATTGTCACTAAAATTAATTAATTATTTATTTATTTATTAAAATACATATTAAAAAATAGATTAATATATATTTATAAAAATAAAATATTTTTTAAAAAACTAACCCACTATTAGTTGTCAACAATTTGTTAGTATCTAAAATATTTTCAAATTCATTAAAATTGTTATCATCTTCATTATTATTATTATTATTATTATTACATATCATTTTATCCTTAAGTTGATTGTTTAAAAATAAAAAAAATTAATCAATTTTTAACATTATATATATATATAGTTTTAATTACCATTTTATCATTTAGATATTGTTGTTGTTGTTTGAATTGAAATTTTATTTGACATACACTTTGACTGCTTGATTGACACTTATTTTACACCCGTTTTATATACCTTCAAGTGAGTCGACTATATTTACATTAATAGTATTTAATATAATATCCTTAACTATAGTAAACTATTTATTGTCAAAAAATGAAATAACAAAAAATGTCTAATTATTTAAATTAATAAAATTTTTCTAATGAATCATTATTTAAATTATAGAATGTTTTAATTAAGATTCTTTAGAAGCTTTTCTCTAAAAATAAATTATAAAATTATTTTGTTTAAAATATACTTTATAGTTATTTTGATAATTATTATTATTTATTAAATATTTCGGTAATACAATAATATAAAATATATTTTTTAATAAATGTTTAGCGCCTGAACTTTATACTTATCTTTTTTGTGCTGTTTTTTTTAACTATGCTTTCTTTCAAAATATTTGATTTTACTTACTTTGAAAGTTAAGCATAAATAATGTGTTTATTAAGAAATTTTCAGAAAATATTTAAGAAAAACAATACTCTATAGAATAAAAGTTTTATCTTTTGCTTAAGCATTATCTCCAAATTGTTGTAAAATTTATAAACAAAATCACAATTTATGTTAATTTTTTAACACAAACAGAAAAATTTTAAGAGAAAGTATATATGAAATACTTAATAAAAACCATATTCATAATGTATTAAACGCATTAGTAGACATAATTAACATATATTGTATTTATTAAATTATTTGCAAGCTTTGTAATAATATTTTATGAAAATATAAATAATAAAATTTAACTGATAAATATATCTTAAACAAAATGATTTTATATTTACTTAAGGATAGAAAGATATAAACTTTCAGAGAATATAAAGCTAAACAAAGTATTAACAAATAAAGTAATGTGACCGCGGATGAGATTGAATGAGTGGACACAACCAATTGATCGGTAAAACAATTTATTATTTTAAAATAAAAAAATACAAAATTAAAAATTGGTTAAAAAAATGATTGTTTCAGGTTTTGTCAAGAGTTTGATTCAGATTCAAGTGAAGTGTTGAGTGTCAAGAAAACAGTGAATGTCAGAGACAAGAGAGCTGTTGTGAGAGAGAAAAAGTGAATTGTCGTTCACTTAAGTAGTGGACGGCCTGAAGGGTCGTCCAATGAGAGAGAAGGGTTGGTTGAAATGTGTTGTGTGTGTGTGTGTAATCTGTGGGCCATATAGGGTAGTAATAAATAATATAATTTTTTTATTTCACATTTTATGTGAAATTTGATTTTTACTTTAAAATATTTATGAATGTTAGAAATCTTATTTATTATTTATAGGACTATAGGATTAATAAAAATGATTTAACTTTGAAAATAAATAATGAGCAAATAAATTATTATTATTATTATATTACTAATAAATATACTATACATTTGAAGCTATATTTTAAAAATATTTACCTGAATTAGCTAATATCAAAAATAATAGTATATAATATAAAAATTAACTATAATAAATTAATTATAATTATTAATAAATTATAAATAATTTTTTAAGTCTTTTCCTAACTTTTATGTAAATTTTTGACAAAATAAATACTTTAATTTTACACAAATTAAATAATAAAAATTAAAAAATTAATAAGATTTAATAAACTATAGTTTTAGAAATGGTGTAAAAAATCATAAGATATTATTTATAAAATAATGTGAAAACATAATACAGTAGTAAACATTAAAAATGATATGATTTGGAAATTGAATAAACATTTTTAAAGCTGTTTTTATATATCTCAGTATTTTATTTTAATTTTAATTTTCCTATTATTTACTAATAATAGTAAGTATTAAGTATTCCTAAGTAGTAATTATTATATTAATATTTATTAGTATATTTTTATATAATACATTTTAATATTAAAGTTGATTTTATTATTAAATTTCTAAAAAACCTTAATTTTTATAAAAAATTACAATCTTAATTATTATTCATTTGTTTAATTTTTAAATATAATACTATTTCTGTTTATTTTTAAATTATTAAATATATTTTTTTTTAATACAATTCTTAGTATATTATTTATTAGGAAATTAGTATCTAAATATTCATTACATAATTGTAACAAAAAAAATATCTTTTACATTTTTATTAAAGAAACATTATTTATAAATTGAAATTGATTATAGATAATAAAATTTTTTATTTATTATTTTTAATAAACTCAATATTATCTATTTTAGTTTTTAAATTGTTTTTAAGTAATTACTAATTAGTTATAATAATTTTAGCTTAAATTAAATTGTGACATCTAGTGAATAAAAGTTTGTTTTAGTACTGTATATAAAACTTATTATTAAAATTGTATTTAAATATTCAAATATTTGATTAAATGGACAATCTTAATAATTTTTAATGTATCTTTAATTTTTAAATAATAAGTTTTAGCATTAAAAGTAACAATAAAATATATATTATCATGGGTAAATTAATTATAAAGTATAATATTTAAAGCTATTATGTAAGGTAACACATCTATTAAATAAAATTATTATTTTTTTATAATATTAAATAACATAAATATCTTGTCATATATTAATTCTATCATAACTTATAATATGAGTATATGATAAAAAAATTAACAATTATACTAAATTTTATTTTAACAGTAAATAACTTTTTTAAAGTCTCCATAACTTTTATGTAAATTCTTTAATTTAATACAAATTAAGTAATAAAAAAGACTATTATTTATTTTAATTAATTTTTATAATTAAGTAATATGAAACAAATATCATTTTAAAAAATTATTTCATATTAAGATTTTTAGAATAATAATTAGTTTTTTCTATAATTTTCTATAACTTAATTATTTTAAATAATTTTATGATAACATAAAAATACAAATGCAAACTACAATATACTAAATATTAAAAATTGTAATTTAATTATTAGTTTAGTTATTATTTTTTTATTTATATAACATTTGTTTTCAAATTTATGTTAAAATGTATTATGTATTGATATTTCATGTATTTTTAGTTTAATTCAATACATTTATAATATAAATTTTATATATAATTGCTGTTAAATAATGTTTGATGGTATCAGTATAAAACATATTACCGGTACATTTAAAATATTCAAATAATTAATTAAATGGATAATCTTAATTATTTTTAATATATATTTAATTTTTAAATAATAATTTTTAGCATAAAAAGTAATAATAAAATATTTATTATCATGGTAAAATTAATTAATAAGTTATTTTATTTAACACTATTGTGTAAAGTAATACATCTATTAAATAGAATTATAATTTATAAAATATATCTTATAATATTAAATGACATAAATATTTGTCATATATTTATTTTTAATAAATTACAATATGATTAATTTTTAAAAATAAAAATTTAATTTTAGATAAATATCAAAATTATATTTTAATTCAATAAAATAATTACTAAATTAATGTAAATTCAATTTAAACTAATCTTAATAAGCAATAGTTGTTTGTCACACGTTGTTGTTTAACACGTCATAACAATAAAATTTATTAAAAAATATTTTTTACTAATATTTCAATGATTAATATAAATAAAGTGATTAACTTTGTACTTAAATATATATAAAACTGTGGTTTCAATTGATTCAAATTGAGTCCACTTATCTCTCGTTTATCCGTTTTTATATTATTGATATTTCTATGAATTTTATGGCTATTTTTAAGAAAAAACTCTTGTGCCCAATGATTGAATAGATCCATACATTTCAAACGTTTAATACTATTGATTATATAACGTTAATATAATTTATTTATTAATAAGATAATTAAAATAATTTTATTTTTTTAATAACTTTAAGAATTTTTGTTAGTATATTTAAAAAATGATTACAAATTAACTTACATATCATTAAATGGTTTCTCAAATATCGATGATTTTTTCAATGCTATGGCTGTCATTGCACTGAATAAATAGTAGTCGGTATCCATTGGCGGTAAATAATACGGGGCATTGGTTTTGTGAATTTCATAGTCGATTGCATAATACTCATCAATAAACACATATTTACCGGAATTTTTCAATAGTACATCAAATGCTTTATTGTAACCATTGACAAACACTTTTCTATTTTCATCAAGGTTATTGAAATCGTATGGTACCTAATAATAATAATAATATCAATTACAAAACATAATATATATATATTATTAAATTTTATGTCATATTTTATTTATTTTTTAAAAAATAAAATGAAATTTACTTTAATCGAAAGTAGACTTTTAGTAAATCCCGATCCTTCAATCAAAACCAAACCTATAGGTGTATTGTCCAATGCATCAAACAGTTCCGGTATAGTCTCAATTGATTGTGGCACCGATAGTACAGATAACTGTCCAAATAATACACCCGAATAATAATTTCTCAAAATGACTGCAGCTATTAGCCAAACAACTACCATAATTTTTAGCCATAAAAGTCTAGGTATATAATGAATCTGTTGGTCAAGTAATATGCCGACAAACATCATGTAAAACAATACTATATCTTGTTTTGGTTTATATAAACATTGATATAGTCTAATAATACTATATTTAGCTAATAACGACATTACTACTAATAACCATATATTAAGTCTAAACTGTTTATAAACAGATGAACTATATTTGTATGTATTATTGAATACCGGTGCCGTAAATGTGATGGGTGTTATAAAGTGAGGGTATGTATAGGTAATCACTTTATTGCGCTCCCATGTCATAGATAGTACTCCAATTCCTAGATCTGCTTGCTTAAAATAATTAGTAAAATTGTTAAAAAATAATAATAAGTAACCGTATCATTATTATATTTTAAAAATACATTATGATAAACATGACCGATAATGCCATCCCATGTATTATTGTGTTCAACAATTTTGTTGCCCCACTTTCCCTGACAATCAATGAATTCATAGGTAAAGTTTAATAAACTGCTGAGCACTTTGATTAACTGTATTTCAAGTCCCTGAGCCAGTCCAACATTATTATGTTTAATACTTGCTGAAACATTGTACATATATGGTGGCACCTAATTAGTTAATAATAACTTTTTTAATTATATATATATTTTAAAAAAAAATTTAAATCAAAATAAATACAAAATTATTTTTTAATTAATTATTTTTAATGTAAATAAAAATATGATTTCTTGATATTTGTAAGATATAATAATATAATTTACCTCATTAGTTGCAATTATTAAATGTTGATTAATATTTGTCAATTTAGTCATTTTATTAAAACAAAATCTTACATTTTATTAATTACTGTATATTAATAATATTTATTTATAATAATCCTGTTTTTTATCTAACAATTCAGTCAATTAATTAATAAAAATATCATATTATGTTTATTAAAAAGTATTTTAAATGTAAAAAACAAGTACTATATTTATTGTTAATTGTATTATAATATATTAATTATAAAAATCGACATTTTTATCATATGACTAAAATTATTTGTTATAATTATATATTAATAATAAGACAATAATTTTCAATTGCAATAATTGTTGTCGTGTGAGAAATTACATGTGTAAATAAATTATTACAGTATATAAAATAATTAATAATAAAAATTTGTTATACAATTTTAATACATCAATTAAAAACAGTATTTACTAAAAAAATCAATATTTTTGTAGACTGTTTGACAAACTTTTAATAATTGATTCAAATAATCATTTTATTGTTCACAGTCGACAAAACATATATCTATAAATATATGAACCTTAAGTAACCTAGGATATTTACTATTATCTATTTAATATTAATATCATATTATATTTACATTGTTTATTTTTGATAAATTATTTTCAATATAAGTCTTTTATAGTCAAATTATATTACTTTACAAAACTGTTCATTTAATTTATGACAAAATCAGACACAATATTAATATTAAAGTATAATTATTTATATTTTTATAGAAAAAGAAATTTAGCTAATTTTTTATTAATAAAATTCCATTATTTTATTATATGATTTATACTGTAGTGATAGATACTACTGTTTAATAGGTTTTTATAGAAAATATTTAATAAAATATTTATTACGTCAATATTTCATGTGATAAAAATAATTAAATTCTAAATACATATATTTTTCATTAAATTAAAAATTTTATTAAATATATTAATTTTAGAGATTATCAGTGTAGACTTATATCGAAATATTTTGTTACAATTATTTGCTTTATTTTTAAATTGTTTTTATTTCAAATGCACACATTTGTGTTGATCCAAACTTTTCTTTTGTCGATACTCTTTGTTACAATTAATGACATCACATTTGTAAGGTTTTTCATTGAAATGTATGCGTTTGTGTTGATCTAAATTAGATTTTTGTCTAAACTGTTGATTACAGTCATCGACATTACATTTGTAGGGCTTTTGGTCAAAATGTATGCGTTTGTGTTGATCTAATCCGGATTGTTGTCGAAATCTTTTGTCACAGTCATTGACATCACAACTGTAAGGTCTTTCACCGAAATGGATGCGCTTGTGTTGACTTATGTGAGATAATTGTCGAAATCTTTTATTACAATTATTGACATCACATTTATATGGTTTCTTATTTGAATGGATAAGTTTATGTATGTTTAAATTACGTTTAAAATTAAATAATTTATTACAATCAGTAACATCACATTTATAAAGTTTTTTATCTGAATGTACTTTATTGTGCTGATATAAACCTAAATTTGTTTTGAACTTTTTATTACAGTTATCAACATTACATTTAAATGGTTTATTATCAGTTGAAACAAATAGTTTAATAAATTTAATATTATTATTATTATTATTTTTTTTTATTATCCAAATGATTCTTACATTTGTTAGATTTAACAAAATTTTTAGGTTTATTAAAATAATTTTTACGATATTTAACTGATGTATGATTTGTTTGATGTTTTTTTAAATGTTGTTTGTATTTTGTATTAAACTGACATTTAGGCCAAAAACATTTGAATCGCGTGTTGTTATTATTATCCACACGTGTTTTGTTGTCATTTATCATATAATCATTGATTTTCACAGAAACGCAATCATTTGATGTAACATTTATTTTAGGGTTTAAGGCATTGCATTGAATATAATATTTATATAAAACACATTGAAGTTTATTGATTTGATTATCTAATTGTTTCAATTGAAATAATTTAATTAAATTGCATTTAATATCATTCAATTGCACAGCAGTTGAACACATTTTACACTGGAATTTATAATTAAAGTATTTTATCGAAAAACAAAATAATGAACTGAAAATTTTATTAGCATTTTTGATATTAATATAAAATAATGAGTTCAATAATATTCTCAAATCAGGGTCAGTTAGTTTTTATATTATTAGAGACATCTATTTATTATTAATATACTGATAATATATATACAGTATACATGTATATGTATATTATTAATGTAGTAACTTTAGTTTAGTATTACTTTAGTACATAATAGTATTAATTCAATATATTTACTTATTTTGTATGTATTTAATCTAGTTTATTGAACTTAAATAAATATTATTTTCTATAATTAGATTATACTAAAAGTAATATACAGTAAAGCTGAGACACGTTATTAGATAAATCTGAGTACAGGTAATTTAAATTTATTATTTGATATGATTTCATAAGCATAATTTAAATACAAGTAAATAAAATAATTATTTTAAAAATCGTATAAATCGTAAAAAATCACAAAAAATCGCATAAAAAATCGTATATTTATAATAATTATAAAAACTATTCTAATGTAACAAACTTTTATTATTTTACTAATAAAATTAATTTTCACAAAATTTTTATAGATATTTTATAATAAATTTTTGTTTTTTTATAGAAATTTAATTGATTTAGTAATTGTATAAATTTATACTTAGTATATATTATTATTTTATATATTAAACACGTTTATTAAATGAAACGATAGGATCCCGTTTGGCTGTACTTCCAAACAGTAATTCATATTCAAGTGTTGTGTCAGTGTTTTTGGTGGCTTTAATATCATATCTCTGAACCAATGATGCAATATATAGGAATACTTCTGCCGTTCCCATTGCTTCTCCCGGACACGACCTCTTGCCTATTGATTTAACAATTTTATAATTATTACTAATATTAAATTTATTATAAATTTAATAAATATAATTTATATATTTCTGTTGTATGTGTCATACCATATGAAAATGGTATGAAGTGTTCGGGTTTGAAGAAAACAGTTCCGTTGTCTTTGAGATACCTTTCGGGTCTAAACACTTGAGGATTGTCCCATAGTTTTGGATCGTTATCTATGGCCCACAAATTGACTAATATTTGTGTGCCTTTTGCTATCTGATGTCCATTGATGACAGTGTCTGCACTTGTACTATAAATATATTTATAAACTGTATTATTTAGTTAAACAACAAAATATATTATATATAATAGTTAAACAACAAAATATATTATATACTAATGCAAACCTACCACCTGGGTAAATTTATTGTAACAATTGATCTGAATCTCATTACTTCATGAATGAATGCCTGAAGATATGGCATTTGATTTCTGTGCGCATATTGTGGTGTCTTATCTCTGCCAATAGTGTCATCAATTTCGGTAAAAATTTTCAATTGAATGTCCGGATATGTGGCTAACAATACCAGTGCCCACTCCAGTGTTAGTGTTGTAGTGGCAGTTCCCGCACCAAACAAATTGAATACATTACCAGACAACATTTTCACTATTATTAATTTATAAAAATATAATATTTAGTATTAAAATGTTTATCAAAAAAAATAAATAAATACTTACTATTAAATGATGTCTTAGGATTAGGTTTTTTAAGTTCAGTTAGAAAGGCGTCGATATAATCGCGAAAATCATTTGAGTTCAATGTTTTCTTATGTAATTTAAATTCATCGCTATTTTAAAAAAAATATATAATTTAATTAAATTAAAAATTAAAGACTAATATTTATAATAAAATAAATAAAAATAAACAATACTTGAAAAATTCAGTCATTGAATTAATTAAAGTTTTAAATTCGTTTAAATTTTTTGGTAATAAATAATTAAGATTTTTCAACAAATATCTATTTAAAACGGGAAACTGTGCCAAAACACTGGTCAATGAAAATGTTGGATTAGGTTTAACCAAATCGTCGATCAGTTTCTTGCGTTTATCGCTATAATCGAGTCGTCGGCCGAACAGAAAAGCGCTGACATTATTGCTGACAGTAATGGCCAACACTTCGCGGACATTGATCTCAATGCCCAACGATTTGTCAATTAATTCTTCACACAAATGGTTGATCTCATCGATGATATGGTCTTCCATTGATGTCTTACCGAATCCCAAATCTCTCAACTGGTGTAATGCAAACCTTCGCTGATCTTTCCATTGCTGTCCACTCATTGATACAAAACCTTTATTGATTTAATATTAATTAATTAAAATAAAATATACATTTAATAAAATTGATTTTAACACACTTTCTTCAGTAAATGTATTAAATGCATTATCTTTAGGTCGGGCCAGTACTGACTCTTGAGATAAGGCATCCTTAATGGATGGCCAGTCATTCAAGACTACTGTTGGCGATGAACCCAATTGTAGACTTTTTTTAAGTAGATATAATAAATTATATTGTTTTTTATAAATAAAATATATGACTAAATTAATTACCCAATTATTGGTCCGTATTTTTTAGACCAATCGACAAATGTTTTTGATGTAAGGTTAGTAAATACATTCAAATTTCCAATTAATGGTAAACTCCAGGGACCGGGAGGTAACTTATTTAGCACTTTATAATCTTTATATATTTTGCTAATCAAAAGATATAGAAATAATAATATTAGTATTATTAATGAGTTAGAAAAAGACCAGTTTATTATTGACAACAAAAACATTTTTAAACTAATAATAAATCAATAGCAAAATTAACAAAAAACTGTATTAATTAATTATAAAAAACTTTTTATTAAAAAATATATTTTACATAAACTTTATTTTATACTTTAGTTAAATTCAACATTAAAGCATCAAATATATAAAATAATTTTTATATTGATGTCTTATTTATATAAGATTTTAATTCACTAGTAATAATAAATATTTGTATCACACTTTTAAGGTTCATTTTGATAAAAAAAGTAAATATTAATTAAATATTATATCAATTAAATCAAGTTATTATATTTATGATCCAATACTAGTATTTTAGTTTAATTTATATATATATCAAAATGAACGCAAATTTAATAAATAATATTTTGATAAATAAAGTTTTTTTAATCTGATTAATAAATAAAATTAAATACTAAATTATTATAACAATTTATAATATTTTAAGATTATTAGTTTACTCTTTATTTATAGTTATATCAAAATGAACTCAAATTTAAGAAGTTTGATTAGAAAAAAACTTATCTGTATTTTTATTTATTTATAATTATTTTAAGTGCACTTATTTATAAATACTATATAGAAATATTTGATGAAATATTCAATAATAATAATATATATAACAGTGTTGGCAGAGACAAAATTTTGTATAATACAAACAATACAAAGTCAAAAATCAAAACTTTGTATTTTTCCAACCCTGATATATACTCATTAATAGTTTATTGTACGATTATTTTATATCTCTATAATAGCTAAAAATTTTATTTAAATAATTAATTATTTTTTATTATTAAATAATAACATTGATATAAATATAATATTATAGTTTTTTTCTATCTATTTTCAATAAACTAACAATAAGTAAAAGTTGTTCAACTTTTTATAAAATGTTCGTATTTTCTATTGAATTGACATTTGGGCCAAAAGCACGTGAAACGTGTGTTGTTGTTAACAGTACGTGTTTTGTGGTTAACATCAATTATTTATCATTGATTTTTTTAAAGAAAAATAATTATTTTACTGTAAAATATTAGACAGTATTAAATACATTTTACAATTAATAATAACTATTAAAATCTTTTAACTATCATATATTATTAACAATTGTTTAATACTTAAATTTCATTCATAATCTATTGTATAAATTTATGTTTTAATTTAACAAATTATTGTCAATACTTTTCTAAACTTGAAATACTAATAATTGCTATAAAGTTATAAATTCAATAGGTCAATGTTTATATTAAAAATATTTATTATATATTCATAAATAATAAAATAGTAAGTCATAGGTTAGGTTTTAACCAAACTAATCAATAATGACAAATAGTTTTATTTATAATTATCAATAACAATTTTATCAGCTAGGTTCATCTGTGTAAAAAATTAATGGTGGTCAAAATAAGAAAAAATTTGATTTTAATTGCAAATATTTATCAAAATATAACGATAATGTAAAAGTATAACATCAAACAATATATACATATATATTGGTAATATAATATATGATTATATCTAAATGACTATATTTGATATGGATTTTTCATTTTGAGTTATAGAAAAACTTATACTAAAATATTAATATATAATTAATTTTATATTACCTTAAATGCTGATGATTTTTTTGTCATTTATTTGATATTTTACTATCTTATGACAAAATAATAAAAATAGACAAATGATTGTTTTAGTACCAATAGATTTGATAATTTTTGATATCTATATATAACATATTCATCAATTAGATTATAATGTACTATAAAATTTTATATTCTTGGTATTTATTTTTTTATTTTTTAATAATTTCTGTTATTATACTTTATTATTAATTATACTAACAATCATAAGTTACATTGCAATTCCATATAATTTTTTTTTTTAAAATAATTAAAAAATTATTCATTTAATATAAAGGGTAAAGAAAATAATTTACAAAATAATATGTGTTATAATTGTCTTTTTTTATTGATATAATATATATAAGTAAAAATAATTTTAGTTTTTTTTGTTTATTTAATATTGTAAAAATAATGACTAAAAATAGTAAATTAAAATATACTTTTAAAAACATCGAATTGTCAAATAATTGTTATTTTAGTAACTATAATAATTCTATAATAATTAATCTATAATAAGCTATTATTTAATAATTTTTTTTTTATTAAATTAACTATTATTATAATTTAAAATATTATTATTGCAAAAAAAATAAATGAATAATACATTATCTTTACAGTATATATATATATAATTATAACAAAATTGAAAAAATCAATTTAATTTATATAAAAATTAAACAAAATAGATAGCGAGACATGTATTTTAATAAATTATATCCATATTTATTAACTTTAATTTGATATTTTTAATAATAAATTATTTTTTAATAAGTAATGTAAGAGTATTGATAATAATTTTTAAAATAAAAATTTTATTAAATCTGTTACAAAAAACACGATTTCTTGCCATATCTTTATATCTATAAAAATAATCTTAAAAACATTAATTAATATTAATAAAATAAACAAAATATTTCCCCAAAAATAACAATTATTTATTAATAACAATAAAAAATCTTAAATTACAATTAAATAAAAACTCTAATAACTGATTAAAACATTGAAACCCATACTAATGACAATATGTCATAATATTACAATTACTTTTATAATAAAATATTAAATAATAACAATATATATGTTGTACATGCCATGCGTACAACATTTACAATTGTATTAAAATAATAAATAATATTACAAATAATTATAAAATATAAGTTGCGTAACACTTCCCTTCCCCAAACATTATTTGAAATAACATTTAATAAAAAAATAATATAATATAATTAACATTAAAACTTTAAAATAAATTATTTAAATAACATTTATAATTTAAATAACATATTTATAATTTAAATATGTTTTACAATTAATAAAATTTTATATACTGTAGATTAATTAAAAATACAAATATTCGAAATATATTTATAAATATAAAATATATCTAAATATTATATAATAATATCATTTGAATGAAAATATTTAAAATATAACATTTATAAATAAATAAATGTTTTACAAATTATCCCCATTAACAAGTTAAATATATAATATATAAATAAATATAACTAATATCAAATAATAAAAACATTAATRTTARTATAAAKATAATAAACATTTGAATAACAATAAAAATTAAWAAATAACTAAATTAAGATTAACATATTAATTATAAATATAAATGTATTTAACAATTAAATAAATTTAACTACATTTTTTAAATAATAAAATCATTAAAATACAAGCATTAATTAAATATTTATATTTATAAAATTAACTTATTTAACAATTTTTAAAATGCACTTTTATAAATTAACAAGGTTACTTTTAAAAAATTTATATAAAAAATTAAATAAAATTTAAATAAATTTAAAACAATTACTGTACATAATTGAAATTATCTTGACAATATATATAAAATAAAAAAATATAACAAATTATCGGTTAGACAACACTTACTATAATATTATGTATGATTGATATAACAATATGATATATTTTGTGTAATTTTTAATGTATACAGACTGATATTAATAATTTTTAACAAATATATTTTATACAACTACAAAAACAAAATGTTTTTTTTCTTATTTTTTAACTTTTTTAGTTTTTTATAACAATATTATATAAAAATACAATTTCACATAAACAAAAACATAATAAAAAAATTAATAAAATTAAATATATAAAGCAATACCTATTTCAGCAAACAGTTATAATTATTGAATTTATTATAATTATATATATTTAAAAATATGTTGATTAATATTAATTAATCAAATTACTACTATAATACTTTTGAAAAGAATAAACTGTTTACAAAAAATAAATATTTCTCAATAAAATTATAATATTTTTCATTAAAAATATTTTATAATGTTTTACTTTAGATATATCAAATAAAAAAAATTGTATTAATAACCATTATTATTAACTTAATTAATTATTAAAAAAAATATTTATTATTATAATTATTATAATATAAAAGATAAACTAATTTAAAATTTAGATATAAAAAATTAAATATATTTGAACAATCAATTATGTTATAATAATTGTTAATAATATAAAACTAAATTAATATCTATCTTAATATATTTGAAAAATATTTAATAGTATAATTAATTAAATTTTTTAGTCTTAAATAATAAAATGTAATATTTATATTATTATTAATATAATAATTAATCCTAGGTTTCATTATTATTTAAATAGTAACTACTACTTAAATAATAATTAGATTTTTATCAAATAATCATAAATAATTATTACAATTTATCAAGATATAATATATATTATTATTATAAATTGATTATTTAAAATTTTAATGTTATAGATTAGTCATACATATATTATTTAAAAATGTTTTTTTAACATTTATTTCCTATAATATTGTTTCAATTTATTTACACCGCTAATAAATTGAAATCATTTATCAGTATAATTATCAGTTTAAAATTATTAAAACTTAAATAATTTATGTATCAGTAATATCAATACATAATTGAATAGTAAAACATTTTTTTTAAAAATAATAGTCAACTTAATTTAAATTTTTAAATTAAGCAAAGTTCATTTTCATATTTATAACTCCCCTTAAAAATAAATTATTCCTTAATTATGAAATTCCCCATTCATCAATATTCCCCAAAATTATTACAGTACTGTATTTCATTTAATCATCAAATTATATCAAAATTGTACATGTACATTTTAATTAAAAAGTTCAAAATACATAATAAACATCAAATTATTATCAATAAAAATTGAATAATCAAAATTTCATAGAAAAATGTGCACATAAAAATCACCAATTTAATACTCAACAGTATTAAATAATAAAATCAACAAGGGGAATAATAACTTTCATTTAAATATTTTTTTCAATGAATATTCATATTAAAAAGATAAGATAATATCAAAATTATCCACAATAACATCAATGTGATAACCGGTTATCAATAAAAATACAAATGAATTATATCATTTTTCAATAGAATCAACAAATGTGCACAAATTATATCAAATTGTTTAACAATAAAACTATTTACCGGTAAATATCAAATTAGGGGAAAAGTATTTTATCAAAAATTTATCATGATAAATAACATAAAATGTGTAAATATTAAAAAATTTAACAAATTTGTTCAATAAATCCGGCCAACATTACATGGCCTAAAATGTGGGTTATATCATAAATTATTTACCTTAATAAAATTTTAAAAACATTTAACATATCAACACATTAAGTTTAACATGCATGTTATTGACATTAACATAAATGAACATTTATCAATACATTGCAATTGCATTACATTTTTAACCACAATTAATTTTACAATTATAAATATTTTTTAAAATATAATATTTTTATAACTTATATAATATATACCATTTATTGAGTTTAAAATTAACATTTATAATATTGACACAGATTATTTTTCAACACATTATATAATATTTATAACTTGTTAGTTATAATTAATTTATTATTTTTATTTTCATAATTACTCATGTTATCATTTTATAATTGTTAAAAATATATCATTAATTAACATATTCACACAACCTTAACAATAAATATCAAATCAGATATTTATTATTTTCAATTTCACATTTAAAATATATACCAAAAATAGATATTAATTATTTAATTAATAACTCAATATAAATGAACTTCTTTACTACTTTAAGTTCATTGACTTATATATAATATTCATTACAATAGATTTAATTAAATTTAGTAATTTATAGTAATTTATACCTATTATTTCATTATATAAATTTTACTAGTTTTATATTACACATACTGAATATATTATTTTTTTATATAAAATCATAACTATATAATATTAAAATTATTATATATTTTATAATTTTAATTTTCTTTATTAATCAGTATAACAATTAAAACTATGTGATTCAATTATAATTTTCTAGACTAGATAAGTTATTACATAACAATTTTATTAATTTAATCATTTTTTGCATGAATTTAAATTTATTTTGTAGTATTTTTTATAATTATTAAAACTAAAAACATGTATAATATACTAAATTACATTTGTATTGAACTTAATTTTTACTATTATATATCATAGAACTGTATATTCAATAATTTAATTGATTGAGTAAATATATACTGATATCAAATTATTTTAAATAAAATCTTAAATTACGTAAATATATATATATATATATATCATATTTTAATAATTTATCATATATTTACTATTTTCTTTTAAAAAATTAATTTTTAAGCAATTATATTCTTAATTATTTTTGACTAATTATAAGATTGATTATAATTATTTGTTATAAACAAAATAACTAATTTTATATACTTTTATTTTATCGTCAAACTAATATAAAATATCTAATAATTTTACTTAAATAATAATAAAAATAGCATTCTTAATATATTTAAAAAACATTAATTACCTTTTTTATCTAAATACTTTAACTATATATTTGATATGAATAATTATCTTTTCCTGTTTCTATATTGTTTACCTATTTTTAAATTTTATTATAAATTAATTTTTCTCGTTATATTTTAGTAAACTATTGATAATATTAATTATGAGTATTAAATTTATTATCATATTTCAGATTTATATTATAAAATTTAACTAAATAATCATATAAATGTTTTTAATTTATAATTTAAAAATAGCATATTTATCATATTACTGATTAAATATTAAATTATTTCAAAATATTTTAGATTATATTACATTGAACATTATTTTTCACACATAATAATATAATATTTAAGTAAATTACGCATTATTTTTAGTTTAAAATACAATTATTCAATTACTTAATAATAGATATTATATTATATTAATCATAATTTATCTTTACTTAATATTAATTAAAATAATTTTATTACACATTAATTTATTTCCTTTTATATTTATACTCATAACCTTATTATTTATTAATGATTAATATTTTATATCATTTTACTTGAATATAAATTAAATAAATCCTGATATCATATTTCAAAAATTAAATTATATAAAAATTTTAAACATTAATTTTCAAATTCGTTTGGATTACACTATTATATGGACATTAGTATTAACTCATTATATTTAGATTATTATTAATCTTCCCATTACTTCCCAACTTCCCTTCCCATTAATTAGGAATAAATTAAATATACCTTTATATGGGGCCACTCGCTCGGTACGGGAGGACAGTAACCGACCACAAACCTCCACCATGTGTTACAAAAAACGCGGACTCTTGTATTAAATATTGCCATATCTTTATATCTATAAAAATAATCTTAAAAACATTAATTAATATTAATAAAATAAACAAAATATTTCCCCAAAAATAACAATTATTTATTAATAACAATAAAAAATCTTAAATTACAATTAAATAAAAACTCTAATAACTGATTAAAACATTGAAACCCATACTAATGACAATATGTCATAATATTACAATTACTTTTATAATAAAATATTAAATAATAACAATATATATGTTGTACATGCCATGCGTACAACATTTACAATTGTATTAAAATAATAAATAATATTACAAATAATTATAAAATATAAGTTGCGTAACAAATCTATTAGCTAATAAATGATTCAACAAATGAAACTCAATCAAACTGGTATTAGATTATTAGTATATTTTAATGTATTAATTACTAATTAAAACAATGAATTGTTTAATTTAACTTAAAATAATAAAAAATTTATTAAAGATAATTTTATTTTATATACTTATTTATTTATATTAAATTTAAAATAATTCTAATTTAAATAAAAATCATAATTTTTTAATAATATACTATTTAGTATACTAAATAAATTTTATTTATTTATATTTTTATCAAAAATGTTTTAAATAGTATTTAATCTTTATATCTTATCTATAATATATTTAACTATTAATTTATATATATATAGTATATTACATTTACGTCAATTTTTACAAAATTATATTTTATTTTGAAATATCAAAATTTTTAACAATCATTATATTTGTGTAACCACTAAATATGAAATTCATTGTATATATTATTTTATAACAAAAATTTACTAAATAAACAATAATTTATTGTATATAAGTCAACCTAAAGTTACTATTTTTTATTAATTAGCTATTAGTTAGCATAGAAATTATTAATAAATTTTTATAATTATTATATTATTATTACAATAATTTTCTAACTAAAATAATAACTAATACAGAAACCTATATAGCATGAAAATGTCATCAAAAATTATAATCTTTTTGGCACTGTTTGCACTAATTGGTAATGTATTATATAATAATTATTGACTATTTGTATGGATACTAAAAAGTTATAGTAATTAAGTAATTATTTTTTTCAAATAATATTTTGTTATAATTTTTTTTAGCCGTTTGTATTGTGGAGGCGTCGGTAGATATTGAGGAACGAGAAGATAAACCACCAAACGATGAAACGCATAAAATAATAGTAAAATTGTCAAATCTATTGACGCCATTGTTAGGACCGGAAATACATAAATTGTTGCACTTATTGCGTCCAATAATATCACTGCCGATCGTAACCAATCTATTGAAGCCACTCTCCAATAGTTTGGTTCCTGTCCTGAAACCAGTCATAGATTTATTAGCACCTATTTTGGGTCCTATTTTGATACCAATTGTTACCAATTTATTGAAGAAAATACTACCAAAATCCAAGTAATACCTGTCACTTGAGGACATCAATCAGTTGTTAAACGGGAGTCTCTAACTAAACAACATAACTGTCCCTAAATTTGATTTATTATTATTTATTTAGATAAATGCGTTATTATACTGTATTTTTCAGTAGACTAAATCTATTTTACTCTAAATTTTAAAAATGTATTTTTTCATATTACAATTTTAATAAAATTAGTTTGCAATTCAAGAAAAAAAAACAAATTATTTTATTTATATAATTAATTGCAATAAAATATAATAATTACAATATGTTTATTTAGTAATTGTTAATTAAATAAATGTTTAATAATTCAATTATATTATTAAAAAAAATATTTTTAAAATTAATGCTGGCTAACATTTATTTAAGTCACAGTTTTAGTATATTTTATTACTCAATTGCCTAACAATTTATATTTATTATTACTTTGTATTATTAGTCTATATTATTAGACAATCTCAACTAGGCTAAATAGCTTAATTTTCGGTTTATGCTGCTATTTAGGTAACAATTTTGTAGAAATAATTAAAAATATTAATTATTATTATTGTGTTTTAATAATACTTATTTTAATAGTAGAATAAAACATAAAATGTACTAGATAAAATGATAACCCTTATATTAGGCTATTAAGCCTATCTATGATCGCCTAATATTAATATATTTATAGTGATTACTATACTTATGCATTTTCGGGAGTTTAAATGGCCAAAATCTGTCGGGAAATCGGGAGTAAAAAAACACAAAATCGGGAGATTAATCGGGAAATAAATTTTATTTTTTTCATAGTAATTAACACATATATTTTAGTTGTCACAAAATTGGTTATATTTAATAATAAAATGATATTTAAGATTATCTTTAGTAAACTTATGTCTTCTATCGGTGAGAATATTCTTATATTCAGAAAAAGAGCGGTCGATGTCCACTGATTTTAACGGTGCATATCTTGTCAAACATTTTGTCTCAAAGTCTTGTGAATCACAAAAGTCTTCCAAATCTTTATTCTTTGCCAAACACATCAATAGTTTTTCTTTAGCAAAACCAGACAATTGCTGTACAGTATTATCAATAATACTTTTTTGATCATTCATTGGTATATTTGAAGACATCAGTTGTTTTGTTGATTCAATTAATATTTTGTAATTTTCAGAATCAAATAATTGATTCTTGAATTTTATATCATTTATTAATAATTTAAGTTTTTTTATTGACTTATTGTTAGTTTCCTGTTTTAAACTGTTGACAAACATTTCAATTTTAACAAAATTTGTCCGATAAAACAAAACAGTTTCTAACCATGTTTTCCATCCAATGACAGGAATAGCAGATAATGGTAGAGCAGTCATCTCTCTATAAAGTAGTTCTTTTGATTTCGAAGTTAATAAACATTTTTTCATTGAAGAAACAAATATATTTAATTCAGAATATTCTTCTTGTATTTTACGACACACTCTATCTAATGCGTGAACAACACATGTTATATAAGACAACTTCGGGAAAAAAATCTTTAAATTGTTACCAACTGTCCTCATATATGATGCGGCGTCTGTGACTAAAAGTAAGACTTTATTATATTTTATACCTTGAGGCCAAAGTATTTGACAAGCATTTAAAAATGCAGTTTAATTGTGTTATGTTTAGTGTTTTCAATGAACTCTATATCAATTATCATTGGTTTACTATACTCGCTATTTAATATACCAACCATTATATTAAACACTTTTCGATCGCAACTATCTTTTGTTTCATCTATAATGAAATATACATAATTTTTGGCAACAATTTTTCTGATATTATCAATAACTTTTAGATATAATGGCTTTTCATATCGTTGAAGTGTTGTCTGATTTGGTACCACTTTTAAAGCAAACTTCAATGAATCCTTTTAATGCCGGAGACATTACTTTATGAAAAGGTATGTTTGATTTAATGAGTGTTTCAGTCAATCGCATTGAAAAATAGTCTTCAGTATCTTTTTTCTGATTTAACGTTTGAATTGATTCTGATAGCAATTGTTGTCTTTTTTGATCACCTTTTGCTTTAATCTCTCGGTGTTTAAGATGTGAAGCACTCGACATGTGTTCATTGATACGGCATTTGTATTTACTTTCGGAAATAATAATTTGTTTCAAACAAACCATAGAAAATACACATTCATTTTCAACTTTTAATTCATTATTTGATTTTATAAATAAATTTAATTTAGATTTTAAACTACTCTTTGTTTTACTCATTGTTTACTACAAATACAGATATTTGATATAATACTTAAATATAATATTTTACAAAATTACAGTTTTTTATATCAAATAATAATTACAGTACAATATTTTTTGTTATGTGATTTTTATGTACGCTTAGCGTCTCTTTCATTGCTTTTTAATTTAATATAGTATTGAATTTGTTGCTAATATAATATTGACTATATATTTACTTTTTGTTAACCAATATTTAGCGAATTTCGGGAAAAAACACTTAAATACTATTTTTCGGGGTTTTTCGGGATTTTCTCAAAAAACAACAAAAATCGGGGAAATGGGGAAAAATAATAGACGTTAATTTAATTTAAAATGTTGCCATATTTCTATCAATATTAAATTCCCGACGATTTAATGAATATTAAAGTTTCGGGAATTCCCAAAGAAACATAACTCTAGTGATTACTTATATATCATTATATGTGTCTATATATGAATTATAAAACTTTAAGAAATTTCTAACTAAATTATAATAAAATGTGAACTGATATTATACTTATAAAACACTCATTATTTTTGTTATATATTATAAACAAATAAATAAAAAAATACAGACATATACAGTACATTACAGTATATACAGTTATATTTGCAGTCAATAATATTCATAAATTGAATGATATTTAATAAATATTATTTATTATATACAGTTGGATTCGGATATGCCAGAATGTATAGCACCTAGGTGTTATTTTTTGTAAATATTTTACAGTTATACACAAAATTTTATTATTAAAATGATCACTTTTTCAACTAATTATGCAGACATTTTTGAACAAAATATGAATTTTTAAAATGTCTAAAAGTTCAATTTAAACAAAAATTTTAAAAATTCTATATAATAATTGTAACAAAATTTCTAACATATTTTTTCTACCAATTTTTATTTCATTTTCATTAAAAAAAGTTATTATGTGCTATAATATACAAATTAATAATTAATTCTATTTATACTCAAAAACATTATATTTATTATACTTAATTTTTAAAATTTTAGTTTAAATTGAAGTTTTAGACATTATTTAAATTTGTGTATTGTACAAAAATGTCTGCATAATTAGTTGAAAAAGTGATCATTTTAATAATAAAATTTGGGGTTTGTGTCATTTTGCTTTGACAATATGGCGATTTACTGTCTTACAGAAATTACGTTCACCTATTAGGTTAAATCAGTGTTCGCTCCGTTACCTAACCTGGTGTTCGCCCCGTAACCTAACCCTATTTATAATGCTATTACACATCCCTAATCTATAAACCATAATTAATTTAATATACATTCAATTAATATTAAATATGTTAGATGACTATTATAGATACAAAAATTAGATGCACATATCACATGATACAAATCAACTTTTTGCACTACTCCTAAACTACGTTATCATATATACTGCTTAAACTAAGAGCGCATTTTTCAAACAATAATTTCAGTTTAAATAATTTTATAATATATTTGTTTTATTACATTTGTTTATATATATTGTATTTTATATATTAATACTGAAAATACATTAAAATAATTAAAACTTATTGTAATTATTATTTAAACTGAAATTATTGTTTGAAAAATGCGCTCTTAGTTTAAGCAGTATATATGATAACGTAGTTTAGGAGTAGTGCAAAAAAGTTGATTTGTATCATGTGATATGTGCATCTAATTTTTGTATCTATAATATTTAATGTGTTATGTATCGATCATAAATTACGTTACACTGTCAAACATATATGACACTATGGCCTAAAATTTTGTGTATAACTGTTATTATATTTACAAAAAGTAACACCTAGGTGCTATACATTCTGGCATATCCAAGTTAAATATACAGTATGTCTAGTTTGAGTTAAACACATAAAACAACTTTTTCTTATGTTAATTATTTTAATAACTTTTTAATTTGTGAATATTTTAAAACTTTTGTTAAGTAATCAGTCAAGCTTTAGTAAACACATCTATAAAAATAAATATTATTTTTAAACTATATATCAATCGATCTAATATTTTATTTGGTTTATATTAAACACAATACTATTGTTATGAAACCAAATTCTATGTAATTTAATAGAATAAACATTAAGAAAATTCAAACAAATTTTTAAATTCTACAAAAACAATATTATAACAAAAGTACAGTTTATACTATAAATATATAATTTCAAGAGTAATATATATATAATATAATAATATAAAAGAAAATCATTAAAAAATATCTATAAAATATTTAATTTATTTAATAAATCCTTTGTATAAAAAATGTAGTAAAATTAACTATAATATGAATTATTTAAATATTGTTTACTAAATTATTATTTTTAAAAATTAAATTAATGTTTATGGTTGTTATTAGAAAAATTATTTTTTCTTAAATAAAAAAATTGAAGTTAAAAATTGGAAATCAACATTTAATAAACTTTTACATTGATTATTATATAAATAAATGATACACCAATTTTTTTCAATTTACAGTTGTTATTATATTATTGTTTTAAATCAAATTAGAAAATCAGAAATTTAATAATAAAATCATAATAAAATTGATTTTCATGTTATTAAGCAATTTTCATCAAATCTCAGTATTATTGAGTACTATAATATATGTTAGCACTAAAACAAAATAGTATATAAGTAGAGCAAAAAAGTTAGTTATATTAATTTAATTTGACTATTAATTTCTTATTTAATTGTCAATATAATTATTAAAAGAGTTTCTCATAATATACTAAACTATATACTGTATATAAAGTAAAATGTCTACAAAAATTGCTATGATTTTGGTATTGTTGGGTCTAATCGGTAATGTATTGTTTGAAATAATTTACAACTTTAAACAACAAAAACAATTAATTAATTATAGACTTTAAAATTGTTTAATTTTGTTTGTTTGTTTCAGTTTGTTTGGAGGCATCGATGGATATTGCAAAACGTGAAAGTGATGGCCAGGGAGATCAGATCATAAACAAAATCAATGACTTATTGTCACCGCTGTTTGGATCTGATTTATTGCCGGCATTGCAAACATTGAAACCGGTGTTTGAGATTCCGTTGTTGGGTATGGTTTTGACGCCACTCATTGACGGATCGTTTAGTCTATTGAAATCAATAATCATTGAATTGGGTAAAACGTTTGGTCCAATTATACAACCATTAGTATCACCACTACTGAAAAATTTGGCACAACTTCCTAAGGGAGCGATTGATAAGATTGTTGAGTTTATTAATAAAATATTAGGTGCAGTTATGCAGAGAATGTTAGGATTTTAATAATAAAAATAACAACATAACTGTTCAAAATTACTGATTAATTTAACACAATATGTTTTTTTATCTATTTTTTAAATAAACATTTAATAATGTAACCAAAAATTCAGTTTATTAATCAAAATCTAATTATAATACTAATTATAAATGTAATTTTCTGGTTTTTTATCAAATTAAATACAATAAATTTTTATGATTTTAGAAACTTATTGATTTATTTTTATTAATTATTATCATATTGAAAAATAAATTATTACAGTTTATAAAGTACTGTATTTTAAATTATTTAAAATATATTTATTTATTGAATTAATTACATTTATTTTATTGTTAGTATTATAACTAATATTAATAAGAATATTTATCAATATTTGATAAAAAAAATATAAAACACAATAATCATTATTATAAAATAAACAAAACTATTCAAAATTTTCCAGTATTATTGTTAGCAATAAACAAACAATGATTTATTATATTTAAAAGAAAACAAAAACTTTATTTCTTAATATAATTTGCAATTAAAAAATGTTGGTTTTATATATTGCTTTTACATTAAAATAAAACTAAATTAAATGTTAAAATAACAATAAAAAGTAGTTTTTATATAATATATTTATAATGATTATTTTTATGTGATCTTTACGATATTTATCATTGAAATAATTTATTTAAAAATAATTACTTTAATACTTAATTCAAAAAACTGTTGAAAACGAGATAATCTTAAACAGTTGCGACGGCGATGATAGCGGCGATGCGATTAATTACAATTATCTGGTCAACAATACGTTGAATTAAAAAGTGACCATGGGCTATGTTGTAGATAATTTTATTCTGGATAAAATTGTAATTGGTCATTTTTTAATTAATTGTATTATATGGCAGATAATTTACAGTCGAGTGTTTAAAAAATTTATAAATGATAGTCGACAGCAAATTGCTAGATACAGAGCATTTGACACGAATCGGCTCATATTAGTGCTAAATATGTTAGGGTCATTTTATGAATTTTTATTTTGAAGAAAATATATTGTTGAGATCTAAAGTTAAAATTGCATTTTAAATGGCATTTTTATCAATAGACGATAAAATAGTTTCACTACCACAACAATATTTATTTTTAAAATAAAAAGTTCAACTTTATGATTGGATTTGTTCAAATGCTCTGTATGACTGACAGCAATTATCTGGCAAATCATACAATTAATTAAAATATGACCAATTACAATTTTCCAGTATAAATTTATCTACAACATAGCCCATGGTCACTTTTTAATTCAACGTATTGTTGACCAGATAATTGTAATTAATAGCATCGCCGCTGTTTAAAACTCTGGTTGAAAACTGTCAAAAAAATAATGAATTATATCACAAATTTAAGTTCAAGTTTATTTTACTCTATTGCCTAACAATTTAGTAGAAATAATTAAAAATAATAATTATTATTATTGTGTTTCAATTATACTTATTTTAATAGTAGAATAAAACATAAAATGTACTAGATAAAATGATAACCCTTATATTAGGCTATTAAGCCTATCTATGATCGCTTAATATTAATATATTTATAGTGATTACTTATATATATATATATATAAATGAAAAAACTTAAAAAAATTTCTAACTAAATTATAATAAAATGTGAACTGATATTATACTTATAAAACACAGACACTCATTATTGTTGTTATATATCATAAACAAATAAATAAAACAAAGAGACATATATCACCTGTATATATATATATATACAGTATATATAAATTTACATTATATTTGCAGTCAATAATACATTGAATGATATTTAATAAATATTATTTATTATATACAGTTTGTCTAGTTTGAGTAAAACACATAAAACAAAAATTTCTTATGTTAATTATTTTAATAACTTTTTAATTTGTGAACATTTTAAAACTATTGTTTAGTAATCAGTCACGCTTTAGTAAACGCATCTATAAAACTAAATATTATTTTTAAAATATATATCAATCGATCTAATATTTTATTTGGTTTATATTAAACACAATACTATTGTTATGGATCCAAATTCTATGTAATTTAATTGAATAAACTTTAATAAATTCAAACAAAGTTTTAAATTCTACAAAAACAATATTATATCAAAAATTACAGTTTAATACTATTAATATATAATTTCAAAAGTAATATAAATTATATGAAAATCATTCAAAAAAATATCTATAAAATATTAAATTTATTTAATAAGTTTTTTGTATAATAAATGTAGTAAAATTAACTATGATATAAATTAATTAAATAATATTAATTCATTAAATTATTATTGTTTTTTAATTAAATTAATGTTTTCGGTTGTTAATAGAAAAATAACTTTTTCTTAATTAAAAAAATAATAATTCTTAATTGATTATATATCTATTAAAATTGAAAATCAAATTTAAAAAAACTTTTACATTAACTATTATATAAATAAATGATACACCAAAAAATATATAAAATATGTTTATTTTACTGTTATTATTATATTATTGCATAAAATCAAATTAGTAGGAAATTAGAAATTTAATAAAATTGATTATCATTTTATTAAGAATTTTTCATCAAAATTACTCAATACTACAGAATTATTCAATACTATAATATAATACAGTATATATAAGGACTAAAACAAAATATAATAGTATATAAGTAAAGCACAAAAGTTAATTATATTAATTTAATTCAATATAATTATTATAATAGTTTGTTATAATATACTATACTGTATATAAAGTAAAATGTCTACAAAAATTGCTATGATTTTGGTATTATTGGGTCTAACCGGTAATGTATTGCTTGAAATCATTTACAACTTTAAACAACAAAATCAATTGATTAATTATAGATTTTTAAATTGTTTAATTTTGTTTGTTTGTTTCAGTTTGTTTGGAGGCATCATTGGATATTAAAAACGTGATAGTAATGACCAGGGTGATCAGATCATAAACAAAATCAATGACTTGTTGTCACCACTGTTTGGATCTGATTTATTGCCGGCATTGCAAACATTGAAACCGGTGTTTGAGATTCCGTTGTTGGGTATGGTTTTGACGCCACTCATTGACGGATCGTTTGGTCTATTGAAACCAATAATCGCTGGATTGGGTCTAATCTTTGGTCCAATTATACAACCATTAGTATCGCCACTATTGAAAATGTTGGCAATACTTTCTAAGGGAACGGTTGATACTATTGTGTTGAGTTTATTAAGAAAATATTTGGTGGAGTTATGCAGAGAATGTTGGGATTTTAATAATAATAAAAAACAATACAACTGTTCAAAAATTACTGATTAATTTAACACAATATGTTTTTTATATATTTTTCTAAAATAATCATTTAATAATATATCCAAAAATTCAGTTTATTAATAAAAATTTAATTATAATACTAATTATAAATGTAATTTTCTGTTTTTTATGAAATTAAATACAATAAATTTTTATGATTTTAGAAATTTATTGATTTATTTTTTTAGTTAATTTTATTTCTATTAATTATTATCATATTGAAAAATAAATTATTACAGTTTATAATGTACTATATATTAAATTATTTAAAATATATTTATTTATTCAATTAATTACATTTATTTTATTTATAGTGTTATAAGTAATATTATTAAGAATATTTAGCAATATTTGATAAATAAATATAAAACACAATAATCATTATTATAAAATTAACAAAACTATTCAAAATTTAAAAAACTAGTTTATTTTATTACAGTAGTTTATTTAAAGTATTATTTATAATACAAATTTTCTTTTAAAAAATAATTACTATTTTATTAATTCAAAAATTAATATTTATTAATAATGATCAATATCATTTTGTTTGCATTATAAAAATAATTATAAATAAAAATATTTTTTAATTTAAAAAAATAATTATTTTTATTTACATATATTTATTATAATTATCAAGTAATCTTTAAATACATGTTATTCAAATAACAATAAATAATTATTTTATTTTTATAAAAATTTTATTGTTTATATTCATAAAATTTTTTAGTAATAATTCTATAAAAAATATAAATAATGTGATTAAAAGTGTTATCAGATAAATATAAAAATGGTTTTTTAATTGAATTAAATTAAGTCCAATTTCGTAACTTTTATCAAAATCTTTATTATTATTGTTATTATTATTATATAGTTTTTGAGTTTTAATCAAAAAATCTTGTCTCCAGTAATTGAAAAGACCAACACTTATCATATAAAGTTGTCTATTGTATTGTATTGTAATATAAACAAAAATATTTATTTTAATATCTAATAAATACTAATAAATAAAATTATAATTAACTTACAAATCACTTAATATATTATATAATTTCGATGACTTTTTTAATACAACGCCAGACATTGTGGTAAAAAATATTGAGTCTTTATCGTTTGGGGGCAAATAATAGGGAACCCCCCACTTGTGAATCAAGTAGTCCATAGAGTAATACTCTTCAATAAACACATACTTTTTAAAATTATTTAATAATATTTCAAAAACATTGTCATATCCGTCGGCATATAATTGATTATCTATTGCTTTTTTATCAATATTATATGATTTCTATAAAATAAGATAATATAAATAATTTTATTGTAAATAGTTATTTTTAAATTATTAGTTAGATTAAAGATCATAATCATAATATCTCATAAATTATTATAAAGTTTTTGAAAAATGATTTACATATATACTATATTAATTTATTAATATAATATATATAATCTTATCATAAAGTAATACAGTATAGCTAATATAGCTAAATAAATTTATAATATCTGTTAGCTATTATTTTTTTCTTAATCTATTTTCATGAATTAATATTACATATATTTTAATATATACCTTAACATCAAGCACACTTTTTACTAATCCCGATCCTTTTAGAAATACTAAATTAATAAGTTTATTGTCAACTGCATCGAACAATTCCCTTATTGTTTCAATTGAATTTGGTACCGGTGCCAGTGTTAACTGTGCATACAGTTCCCCGGCGTAATAATTTCGTAATATGATTCCAGTAGTTAACCAAATAAATATCAATATTCTTAGCCACATATATTTAGGTATATAATGAATGGATTGATTTAATAAAATGCCGACAAATAGTAAAAATAATTTGTCGTATGTGTCGTATAGATAATGATATAGTTTTATAATGGCATAAATAGCCGACACCGACATACCGATTGACCACCAGATATATACATCAAATTCCTTATAAACAGATGAACTGTGTTTGTAATTATCAAATATCGGTGACGTAAATGTAAACGGTGTTACAAAATGCGGGTAAGTAAAGGTGACCACTTCCATACGTTCCAGTGTTAAAGATACCGATCCGATGCCAATATCTGCTTGCTTAAATAACAAAAAATATTATTTTTTTAAATAATCACTTTATAAAAAAATTAATAAAAATAATTTGATTACCTATCATATATATAATTTGTTTACATCATGATAAACATGACCCACAATACCATTCCATGTATTGTTGTGTTCAATAATTTTGTGGCCCCACTTTGAATGGCAATCAATGTATTCATAGGTAAAATTAAATAAATAACTTAGCACCTTGGTGAATTGTGCTTCAATTCCCTGAGCCAAACTAACATTATGTTTCTTAATGCTTTCAGCTATATTATACATAAACGGTGCAATCTGTAAAAATATACATTTAAAATTTTTAAAGTTAAAAAATAAATTATATTAATTATTTATACTTCATTAGTTGCAATTTTTAAATGACGATTTATGAGAAATTTTTTCATTTGTAATAATTTTTTTTAAATCTAATATATAGACAAATACAGTATTATAACAGATATTATACAATATAAATGTATATAATTAATACAATAAAACTAACACAATATTAGTTTACTGTATATTAATATAAAGTATAATAGTTTAATAATTCAATTATTTATAAGATATCAATATAAATAAAGTATTAGATTGTATATAATTTTTATCGATTCATTGGTGAATAGTAAAAATAAAAATTATTCAATTTAATAAATAAAATTTTAATTAACTAATATTTTGCATTTTTATGCTAATATGATGCAATAAATTAACAATAAAAAACATAGAAAGAATAAGATAAATATTAATAATATTATATTTTTGAATTAAGACTAAATTATATCAATAACTAATATATTTCTATAAATAGGTACCATTTTTCAAAAATTTAAACTATTTTTAAGTAATATAATAGAAGTACTATTATTTTGTTGAAATATTACATAATAAAAATTTAAATGCTATGCAAAATAAAAAGTAAATTTATTGTCTATTACTTATGTAACATTAACAAAAATTCATGTATTTTATTAAATAAAAATAAGTGATTAATTATATATGTTGCTAGTTATTAAATAGAAACAAATTTATATTAAATATAATTTTGATGCACTATTCAGATATGTTTGTTTATATGCATAAAACAATTAATTGACAATAATAATAATAATAATAAAAATAAAAAGATATGTTATTTATAACAAATAATTATTTGGTAACAAATTATAATATGAGAAGTTAACATATGTTAACTTTTATAAATATTTTTAAAAATAAACCATTAGCTATTATGTTTATATATATCACTAATACAAATTAATATTTAAAAAAATGTTTATCTTTAATAATAACAATTTAACAATTTTTGTTTGTTTGTAGCATAAGTTATTTTGTAATAATAGAAATTATTTTTTATCAATTAATCAATTTTATTTTCCTACCCATATTTTTTTATTGTTTTAGCATTATTTTATATATTGAAAAGATGTACTAAAAACGTATTTTAATAATTATGTACAGTATTATCAATAATGTACTAACATTTTAATTTTCTAATGATTATTATTATTATTATTCTATATTAATATAAACTGATACTAATAATTAAACTAAAATATCACAACAACAAAAAACATTTAATATATCAAATACATTTATAAATTATAACTTATAATATAGTTTGCAATTTTGTATACTGTATATACAGTATAACAACAATTATATCTATTTAGTATTTTGACACAATTTCGTTTTATATATTTCATAATAATTGATATGTACTGAATAACTAAGTCTATATTATAAATATTGATTATTGTATATTATTAATTGTTTTAATAAATAAAAGTATAGATACAAAGATAAAAGTATATACCATGTATTGCTTCATTATGTACTTAAATTGCATTTGAAGAATAAGTAGTTTTATCTTAATTATTAGAAATTAAAAGTTTCAATAAATCTATATATAATAGATAATCTATAATAAAATTTCTTATATAAAGCTTATAGTTTTCATATTATAATAATCAATAAATTTAATTACAAATTTATTTACAGTATAAGAAAAAAATTATAGTTATTTTTATTTTAAAAAAACTATAAGAAAATGTTTCAAAAAATATTTTTATTTATTAATTTTATTTATTTATTAATACAATTCATTAATTGTAATGAATTGATTGTCAATACGACTTCAGGCCCTGTAAAGGGTAGGGCAGTACATGTGCTTAACAAAAGTATTGCACAGTATCTGAACATACCATTTGCCGAACCGCCACTCGGGAAACTCAGATTTGCTAAACCCGAACCATTGAAACATCCAAAACAGGTATTAATGATTGTATTTGCATATATATGCAACGATAGATATGAGATAAAAGTGTATCAATAATATAATATATTGAAATATTATATCAGTTAATCGATGGCACCAAAACAGGCAATAGTTGTCCCCAGTATTATGAAGACGGATCCAAACATTTTATGGGAAATATAACTCAAAATGAAGACTGTCTGGTATTGAATGTTTGGACAGACAATGATAACAATAAAACAACAAATGTATTAAAACCGGTAATGTTTTGGATTCACGGCGGAGGACTTACTATGGGATCGAGTTTTCAATGGGAATACAATGGCAGTGCACTGGCAACACATGATGTGGTAGTTGTGTCGGTCAACTATCGGTTGGGTTGGTTAGGCTTTCTATTTGCCGACGAAGAGTCAGCACCGGGAAATGTAGGACTGTATGATCAGACATTAGCTCTTCAATGGGTATTTAAATATATATATATATAAATTTCAAAAAAAAATTTAATCTTATTTTCTTTTAGGTCAGAGATAATATACATGAATTCGGTGGCAATAAAGATCAGATAACTATATTTGGTGAATCAGCCGGCAGTATATCAGTGACAACACACCTGTTATCACCGTTATCTAAAGGACTGTTTCATAGGGCTATTATGCAAAGCGGGGCATTTTTTTATAGCAAAAATACATTACTCACCACTAAAGACCAGGCAGTCGTACAGTCTAAACAAATGGCTGCAAAACTGAATTGTACTGACGCTAGCAAATGGTTAGCCTGTTTAAGGGAACGGGAGGCTAAAGAGTTTGTTAATCCAAAAGTAATGTTGGGTTCAATGGATCCTTTAGTTGGCACTCAATTTTTGCCAATGATTGCACAAATGGCTTTTAAATCTCAAAAATTCAATAAAGGTTTGAAAACTAAATACTATATTATACTATATATTCAATATATATATATGAATAAACTGAAAATTATTGTAATAATACTAATTTATGTTTATTATTATGAAATTTTTTAAAACTTTTATAGATCTAGAAGTAATGGCAGGTGTGGCCAAACATGAGGGCTCATTTCTAGCCTATTATTTACCACAAGCACGTCCTACTGTCAACTTAACAAAACAAGATTTTATTAAATATATACATCAATTGAATGGCATATTTCATGATATTCCCGAAAACAATAGCAATATAATAGAAACATATGTCGGTACTAATGACACCCGGGATGGCATAAAATGGGCTGAATATGATTTGTTTGGTGATTTCATAGTCACCTGTCCGACCTATCAGTTTGCCAAAAATTATGCCCAAAAGTCAATTATTAGCAAAAGTCAAGTATATTTCTATGAGATTACTTATCAACGAGAGGACAATGTGGTCGGTATTTCCAATAAGGAAATGGATGTAACTCATGGCGCGGAACTGGACTTTGTGTTCGGCGCTCCAGTGATTACACCCGAAAAACGGGATACAAAAGTTGACACTGAGTTTAGTCAACAAGTAATGAAATTGTGGACTGATTTTGCTAAATATGGGTAAATATTATTTTTAAATATTATTATAATAATAGTTTTAATTCAATTATTAAATAATAATTATACTAATTTTATTTTGATAGTAAACCTGCAAATAATTGGCCTAAACTTCTAGACAATAGTAATCCAAAGTTACCGACAAAAGTTTATGAACTAAATCCAAAACAAATGCCACATATTTTTGACAATTTATTCATCAAAACATGTGATGGACTTTGGAATGATTATTATAACTAAATCATTCACATAATAATATGATTTTTAAAAAAAAATTATATTTTAAAGTTTTAATTTTAATATAACTAATGTTTAATTAATATTTTGAAAACAAATAAAATAAAATACAGAGTATATAAAAGTCATTAACAACTTATTTATTTATTAAAATAAATTTATTATGGGAAATATTAACTTAATTGCACTGAAAAATTAACTAATAATTATAGGTAAATTTTACCTGTATTTATACAGTTTAATATTTTAATATAATTTATATTACTTTCATATCATTTTAAATTAAAATTTACATAAATAATACAAAATATAAGTGAATTATTATTTATTAACTGTTTAATTATTATGTTTATATTGATTTGTAATCTCAATATACGGACCACTATTAGTTGGTTTGTTGTCATTATTAACATAGATATTGTTGTCTTCAATGATTTCATTGTATTCATCGTAAACTACATCTTTAGTAACATATCTATAGTTTTCGTATTCATTATCATAGACTTCAATGTCGTCGTAAACATCTTTTCCTATTTCTCTATTGATTTTCTGTAAACGTTTTTGTCTTATAAACAAATAGACAACAATCGGTGCTAATATTGTAAGTAATATAATAGTAGTTATACCTATTATTACTATATTTGTTAATGATAAACTGAAAATAGATAATCGATTAATTGGATTGTGTTGTCCCCGAATAGTAGACATTATATCATTACATATGAGATCACTTGATATTTGTTTGTGTTTATCATTATTGTCACTATTATTGACAAAGTGATCGACCCATTCATAAATCTTTACGAAATCAATGAGAAGTGCGGAACAGTTCCACAAATTGTAATCTTCTAATGTCAGAGACTGATCGCCAAATACCGTTCCGCCGACTGTTAGCTCAATATATAGATTGTACGGCACATCAAATGGTTGTCGCTTTTTGTTATAACTATGAGACAGTCTTTTATTGATATCAACAACGGTATGACTGCTGTTATCAAAAAACCACTTGATTTCGGTTTCAGTCCATTCAATGGCATATCTATGAAACCCATTGATATCAATCGGTTTATAGGATGTGCTTTTTGATGGCTTATAAAGAGTTGGGTTTTGACTGTATTTGACATAATTGTAGACTAATTTACCTTGTTCATATGTAAATAAATTGATTGTTTCATCAGTTGATTCTTTATTATCGTTTTGTAAATAAACAGCGACTCGTAATAATCTTCCTAAAGGTAGGGCTGCATTAATCTCAAATCTCCCGTATTTCCAGTTTTCAATTAATTTGATTTTTGCTGTTTTCAAATGATATGTTTTATTGAATTCTGTATTTCCAGTGTTTGCAGTGATAGCCAAAACACCGTTTCTTAGTTGTATTGTTTGTGTATCATTTGAATAACAACTTTGTTTGTCGTTTACATTCTCTGTATAACATATTAATAAATATATTAATATTTTTAATTTTTATAAATTAGATTAAATTATAATAATTATTTTCAAATACCTTCACATTTATATTGATCCCAAGTATCAAATGCTAACCATTTATTAGCATTTAATATATTGTCATTAAATTCTTCGTTAAAAACGAGTTTCAAATATTTTTTCGACTTTTGTTGACTAATCATATCAAACATTAGACTTTGACATATATCAGAAACAACACTATTGTCTGTATTATTTGGCAATGGATTTGTACTAATATTAGTTGTGTTATCAATCCATTGATAAATTCTCATATAATCTACAATAAATGCCGAACAGTTCCACTCTTTATATATATCATTATGGAAACTACCGGCCCATTTGCTAGTTTTTACAACTAAACCAAAATAAAAAGGTTTATCAAATGGTTCGCCAAGTTTTTTGTAGTTACCGGTACTTAGTGTACGGTTTAATGGAAACACAAACGTTTGTTGATCATTGACAAACCACTTGAGCTCATCAACTGTCCAAACAAGTTTATAGACATTAAACATATGGACATCTGATTTGGATACATTTCCTTTTGCATAGATATCTATGGCTGGCTGTCCATAGGTAACTTGATAGTCAACTAATTGATTCATTTGATAGTAATCCATAAATGTAATTTGTCCACTAAGAGCCCACTCCATTGGACTATTGGCACCAAAATAAGTACCGATTTTAATTGTCTCTCCCATTGGAAGGGCTGCTCTCATTTCAAACGTACCGTAAGTCCATCGGGGAATCATATATATTAAACTCGAGGTATAATTTTTGTTTATCTTATAGTCGTAATCATTGCCAACATATTTGACAGACGCTACTAAACATCCGTCAATAAGTTGAATATTATCACGTGATGCACAACTTTTTTCATAGTCGTTATCATCTAATAAAATGTAATTAATTTTTTTTTTAATAATTATAATATAATTTATTTATAAACCCATATACCTGAACATTTGCCAGCTATTGAATCCCATTGATTATTTATTTCCCATTTTTTCACATCAATATATTGATCATTGAATTCATCACTCCATACAAGTTGTAAACTTTTATCGGTGTAAACATTTTGGATGAAAAATACTATTGTAATTAAGTTTTTTATAATTACAATGTTAATAATATTAAATTTAAACATAATAAAAATTTTATTAGACTAAAATTATTATTTACTGCAAAAATAATTTACTATTTTATATCATTTATATCATATTTTTAAAGATAGGAAATTCTATGTTTGGTAATTATAATAATTTAAAATTCATCAACAATAAACATATTTGGTAATAATAAATTTTTAAATTAATATTATTTCTAGAATATATTTATTTTATAATTTTAAATAAAAATAAATTATTTTTTATTAAATAATAAAACAGTATTTAAAACTAATTTATTAACTAAATAGAATTTTTAAGCATTTTTTATTAGTTAAATAATAAAATACTAAATACATATTTTTATATTTAATAAAACTTATTTGAAATTATTATATATTTATTTAATTAAAGGATTTAAAATCAATTATAAAAATTTATATATGAAAACTGTAATTTCCTTTTTTTTAGTTGAAAAGTTCAATTTTCTCATTGAATTTCAGGAAATCGAAATATTTATATTTATCCTTTAATAATTTAATTTTTGTAATGTATAATACAAATATAAAATGTCAAATAAGTTTATAAAATCACTAAAGAATTACAATTTATTTATACATACTATACATTGCAATATTTACATTCAAAAATTACACTGTTTAAGGAGCGCCAAATAAAGTACAGTATTATACAGTATATTGTAAGCTCTAAAAGTGTACAACAATTAAACAATAAATTATAAATATATAAATAAAACGACAACTAATGTATGTATGTATGTATGTATGTGTGTGTGTGTGTGTGTGTGTGTGTGTGTGTGTGTGTGTGTGTGTGTGTGTGTGTGTGTGTGTGTGTGTGTGTGTGTGTGTGTGTGTGTGTGTGTGTGTGTGTGTGTGTGTGTGTGTGTGTGTGTGTGTGTGTGTGTGTGTGTGTGTGTGTGTGTGTGTGTGTGTGTGTGTGTGTGTGTGTGTGTGTTAGTCCAGTTAATAATGTTAAATAAACTGGATATCATTGATAATCATAGCATATAAAGATATCGCTTAGTTAAAAATAATTTTATTACTAAATATAATACAATAGATGCGTTTCATTAAATAAATAAGTTTAATATAATCAGGGTCTTTTGTTTATTACATAGTTTTTACTACTCAAACCTGTATTGATTTGTAATCTCAATATACGGACGACTATCAGTTAGTTTGTTGTCTTTATTAACGTAGATATTGTTGTGTTCATTGATTTCATTGTATTCATCGTAAACTATATTATTATTAGCAACATATCTGTAGGACTCGTATTCATTATAATCTTTATCATAGACTTCAATGTCATCATAGGTTTCTCTGACTATATCTCTATTGAGTTTCATTAAACGCTTTTGTCGTATACATAGATAGACAACAATCGGTACTAATATAGTAAGTAATATAATAGTAGTTATACCTATTATTACTATATTTGTCATCGATAAAGTAAAAGTAGACAATGGATCAATTGGATTGTGTTGTCCCCCTATAGTAGACATAATATCACGACAAATGTGATAACTTGACAGTTGTTTGTGTTTATCATTGTTGTCACTATTATTGACAAAGTGATCGACCCATTCATAAATCTTTAGGTAATCAATGAGAAGTGCGGAACAGTTCCACAAATCGTAATCTTCTGAAGTTAGCGACTGATCCCCAAAACCCTTTCCGCCGACTGTTAGCTCAATATATAGATTGTACGGCACATCAAATGGTTGTCGCTTTTTGCTATAACTATGAGACAATCTTTTATTGATATCAACAACGGTATGACTGCTGTTATCAAAAAACCACTTGATTTCGGTTTCAGTCCATTCAATGGCATATCTATGAAACCCATTGATATCAACCGGTTTATAGGATGTGCTTTTTGATGGCTTATAAAGAGTTGGATTTTGACTGTATTTGACATAATTATTAATAAATTTACCTTGTTCATATATAAATAAATTGATTGTTTCATCAGTTGATTGTTTATTATCGTTTTGTAAATAAACAGCGACTCGTAATAATCTTCCTAAAGGTAGGGCTGCATTAATCTCAAACCTCCCATATTTCCAATTTTTAATTAATTTAATTTTTGCTGTTTTCAAATGATATGTTTTATTGAATTCTGTATTTCCAGTGTTTGCAGTGATAGCCAAAACACCGTTTCTTATTTGTATTGTTTGTGTATCATTTGAATAACAACTTTGACTATTGTTAACATCCTCTGTAAAAAATATTTATTTTATTAATTATATTTATATCACATTTTTATTCATTAAATTAAAAATACCGTCACATTTGTATTGATCCCAAGTATTAAAAGCAAACCAATTATTTGCATTTAATATATTGTCTTCAAATTCTTCGTTAAAAACAAGTTTCAAGTATTTTTGTGACTCTTTTTCGACAAACATTTTAGATATTAGACTCTGACATATATCAGGAATAACACTATTATCGGTATTATTAGACATTAGATTTGTACTAATATTTGTTGTGTTATCAATCCATTGATAAACTCTCATATAATCTACAATAAGTGCCGAACAGTTCCACTGTTTATATATATCCTTATGGTAAGCACCGGCCCCTTCGTTGATTTGAACTGAAAGACCAAAATAAAAAGGTTTGTCAAACGGTTCGCCAAGTTTTTTGTAGTTATTGTTTTGTTGTAATGTCTGGTTTAATGGAAACATTAAGGTTTGGTTGTCATTGACAAAGAAATTGAGTTCAGTTTCAGTCCAAACAAGTTTATAGACATTAAATCTGTCGACTTTTGACTCCGACATATTCACATGTATTATACTATTAATAACAGGCTTTCCATAAGTAACTTGAGATACAATCATTTGATCCTTTTGATTGTAATCCATAAATGTAATTTGTCCACTAAGAGCCCACTCTCTGGCACTAACCGGACCCAAATAAGTACCGATTTTAATCGACTGTCCCATTGGAAGGGCTGCTCTCATCTCAAACGTACCGTATGTCCATCTGAGCCACGGAAACATCAAACTCGAGGTATAATTTTTGTTTATCGGATAATCATAATCATTGCCCACATAGTTGACAGACATTACTAAACATCCGTCGATAAGTTGAATATTATCACGTGTTGGACAACTTATTTCATTTGAATTACCTTTTATTTTAATATAAATTATTTATTAAACTTTATTTTCTATTAATTAATATAATTATAAACCAAAATACCTGAACACATTCCAGTCGTTGAATTCCATTTACTATTTATTTGCCACAGTTTTTCATTAATATATTGATCATTGAATTCATCATTCCATACAAGTTGTAAGCTTTTATCGGTGCAAACATTTTTCAGATTAATTAATAATATTATTATTCTTATTATTTCAATGTTAATTATATTAAACTTAAACATCATAAAAATTTTACTTGACTAAAATAATTATTTACTGCAAAAAATAATTGCTATTTTATATTTTTATATTATATGTCATTAAAAAATATTAACTCATATTTTTAAGAATAGGAAATACTAAATTTGGTAATAATAATAATTATTATTATTTATGATTAAACATTGTTTTCCTTAAAAGGTATGATTATTTTTTAAATGAATATTATTAATAGAATACAGAATATCTATTTTATAATCTTAAATAATTATAAATATTATTTTATTAATGTAAATTCAATTGAACAGTATCTAAAAATTATTTATTAGTAACATAGTTCAATAATAAATATATATTTTTTATTTAATAAAATAATTAAAAAAATATTAGATAATCATTAAGTTAAATGTTTTAAAATTCATTATATAATTTTTGTATGAAAAATACAATTTCCTTTTTTTATTTTAAAAGTTCAATTTTCTCATTAAGTTTTAAGTACGCAATAAAAATATAAAGGAAATTGAAGTTTTTGTGTTTATCCTTTAATAATTTAATTTAATGTGTAATAAAATATACAGTGACAAATAACTTTGTAAAATCACTAAAGTAATAAAATATATTTTGTATAATTATTATAGTAATATTTACTTTTTTAATATTATATAACTAATTTATCATTTATCATTATCTAATTGACTAAATAAAGATATAATTGCATAAAATTAACTGTTATTAATTTACTATACAATTGTTTATCTATATATTAAACACGTTTATTGAATGAAACGATAGGATTTTGTTTAGGAGTTATTGCAAAAAGCAAATCAAAATCAAGTGTTGTGTCAGTGTTTTTGGTGGCTTTAATATCATATCTCTGAACCAATGATGCAATATATAGGAATACTTCTGCCGTTCCCATTGCCTCTCCCGGACACGACCTCTTGCCTATTGATTAAACAATTTAATAGATTAATAAATTTTAATTAATTATTATTTGTTTTATAAGACAAACCAAACGAAAATGGTATGAAGTGTTCGGGTTTGAAGAAAACAGTTCCGTTGTCTTTGAGAAACCTTTCGGGTCTAAACACCTGAGGATTGTCCCATAGATTTGGATCGTTATCTATGGCCCACAAATTAATGAATATTTGTGTGCCTTTTGCTATTTGATGTCCACATATTACAGTGTCTTCACTTGTACTATAAATGTTTGAAAACAATTTATTTAATTTAAAATTAATTAATTAATATATTTTTAAAAATAATCAATGTAAAATAATAAAATAGACATACGCCCTGGGTAAATTTATCGTAACAATTGATCTGAATCTCATTACTTCATGAATGAATGCCTGAAGATATGGCATTTGATTTCTGTGTGCATACTGTGGTGTCTTATCTCTGCCGATAATATCATCGATTTCTGTACGAAGTTTTGTTTGTATGTCGGGATATGTGGCCAACACTACAAGTGCCCACTCAAGCAATGATGTCGTAGTACCGGTTCCCGCACCAAACAAGTTAAAAATATTACCAAGCAACATTTTTTCTATTATTAATTATAATATTTAATATAATAAACTATTTTTAAAACTAATATTTACTATTAAATGAAGTCTTAGGATTTGCTTTTTTTAGTTCAGTTAGAAAGGCGTCGATATAATCGCGAAAGTCATTTGAATCCAATGTTTTCTCATGTGATTTAAATTCATCGCTATTTAAATAAAATATTTATTAATAAATTTAAATACAAATAAATAACTTATAAATACAATTACTTAAAATATTCATTCAGTGATTCAATTGTATCTTTAGTTTCTCTAAAACTTTTTGTGGATAAATATTGAAGATTATTGATTACATATTTGCTAAACACTGGAAACTGTGCCATAAATCCTGTTAACGAAAAGCTTGGGTCAGGTTTGACCATTTCATCGATTATTTTCTTTCGTTTGTCATTATAATCGAGTCGTCGGCCGAACAGAAAAGAACTGATATTATTGCTGACACTAATACCCAACACATCGCGAACATTGATATCAGTTCCCAACGATTTGTCAATTAATTCTTCGCACAAATGGTTGATCTCATCGTTGATATGCTCTTCCATTGATGTCTTACCGAATCCCAAATCTCTCAACTGGTGTAATGCAAACCTTCGCTGATCTTTCCATTGCTGTCCACTTATTGATGCAAAACCTAATTATAATTTAAAACATTTTGAATTATAAAAATTATTCAATAATATTATTTACTATTTAATTAACATACTTTCATCTGCAAATACATTGAATATATTATCTTTAGGTCGGGCCAGTACTGAGTCTTGAGATAAGGCATCCTTAATAGATGGCCAGTCGTTCAAAACTACTGTTGGTGATGATCCCAATTGTAGACTTTTAAATAAATAATTTTATTAACAAAAATGTTTAATTAAAATATGAAGAAAAATTAAATACCCAAAAATAGGTCCGTATTTTTTAGACCAATTGACTAATGTTTTCGATGTAATACCAGTAAAGACACCCAAATTGCCAATTAATGGTAAACTCAATGGACCGGGAGGTAACTTCTTTAACACTTTATAATCATTATATATTTTACTAATCAAAACATATAGAAATACTAAACTAATTATTATTAATGAATTTGAAAAAATCCAGTTTATTATTGATATTAAAAACATTTTCAAAATAATAAACTTTAATATAATAAATAATATTAATAACTGAATTTATATTATATATAATCTATAAAATATTACAACTTATAAAATAATTTTAATTTATAAAAACTTTGTTTCCAGTACTCTATTTATATAGGATTTAAAACAAATATTTATAAATAAATATTATTTTTAAATTTGTGTTCATTTTGATAATATATCACATATTTTTATTAGTTAATGCAAATTATAGCTATATTTTTGAATTAGTGCTTTAAGTTTATCAGTTTACAATATTTGACAATCAAAATGAACACAAGTTTACTAAATTTAATATTTTGACAATTTTTTTTTAAATTTTCTAAACATAACTGTAATATATGGTATTTATTAAATTAATTTTTATTTGTTTAGATAAAAGTGCATTTATTTATAAAAATTATTTAAGATAAATACTTTATTATTTAAGATTTACTCATTTTGTTTGATTTATTAACTATTAAGATTATTATAACCTTGGTGGTTATTAAATATAACATGTGTTAAAAATGATAAATATATTCAAAATATTCAAAATACTTTTTATAAATTATTATAATATAAAATATAATTTCAAATAAAACTATTAATAGTATAAAACTTAATTATTACATTATATCTACTATTTTTAAAAAATTCAATAAAATAATAATAATATCGATTAATTATTTTTATTAATTAGTTTATATAAATATTTTTATTGTTTAAATTACATTAATATTTATTATTATTATTATTATTATTATTAATTATATTATTAAATTATACTAATACTGTAAGACTAATATTTTTTTTTAATCAGTACTTACTTATTTGATTAAATAGTATTAAAATTAATTAATTATGAATTTGATTAAATTATTATTTTATTTAAAATTTTTCAAAAAAAATTAATCTTAAAAATATTGTTTACCAATTATATGATCGGAAAACTAAAGTACAGAATGAAAGATAAATTTTTATACTTCTATACTATAAACAGTTGTATCGGAGCTAAAAAAAATCTCTATTAGAGTTGATTGAAAAAAATAATAGCAGAAAAACCAGTGTTTAGTTAGGAAATAAAGCTGAACTATACTTAAAATATTTGATATAAAATATTGTTTTAATTATTATTTATATATTTATAAATATTTTTAATGTTTTTTTATTTGTATAATAATGTTTATTTAATTCATAAATATTAAACACTTTTTTTTGTATAAACATGTTAGGTTTTGTTTATTATTTGTCAGGATATTATTATGTGAACTAGGTACTTTATTGAAGTCACTTAATAATTAAGTATATTTTGGTTTTAATAAAATATGTTTATTGGTTGGATATATTGAAAAGTAATAGTCAATAGATTTGTGATCTATTGATACAAATGGTATATAACTATACAGTTTGGTCGCCAATCCAAGAGTGACTGTGCTCTCCAACTGTACTATCGGTGCCCATAAACTCACAACAGTTTCTCACTGTTGACAGTCGGGTCATAAAATCTTAAAACTATTTTTGTTGCCCATTGGCTACTCAAAGATATCTCTTTCAGCCAATACATCAAATACATGTATATTCAACACAATATACTTAAATACAATTCAAACATATAGTTTCAAACAAAATATAATAATAATAATTCAAATCATGACATAATCCTCTCTCTCTCAATTCAAATACCCATTTGAATTCAAAATAAAGTTACAAAACTATAATATGTCATATAATTATAAAACATCAAAATTATCAAAAATATAAAGTTGCAAAATAAGTTTTACTTATAAATATTCAATAAGTTTTCAATTGATTTACATTATAAATCAATTCACAAAATATTCAAATAACTAATAATAATAGTTATAATAGTCATAATTGTTGTATTGATTATAATTATTATATTGTTGTTGTAGTGACGTTAATGGCATATAATTGGTTGTCGTTAAAGTGTTATCACATTTAGTGTCCAATTGAACGTCGGTAGCAATAGTTTGTTGATACTGTTGTTGGCCAT